TTTCTCCGGTGTGGCCGGGGAGGACAGCTTCGCGGGCGTCCAGAACTCGCTCAGCCTCTGCTCGAATCTTCAGCTCTGTTCTCTTCAGGAGTTCTATGTACAGGGCTACCATACGCTCGGGCGCAAGATCAACCGGGTGCAGAAGGATGGGAGCTGCATCGATTCCGGGAATTGCCTGGCGACCCCCTACCAACTGCAGGACGGCCTATTCTGCGGTGCTGCGGGATATCTGAAGGCCCTGGACCCTTCGGACGTGGCGAGGAGGTACGACCCGATATGCAGGGTGGACCCCCTGGTCACTCCCCTGGTGAGGATGTTCTGCACCGCCGATAGGGCGTCCATATCGAGTGCCTGTGACCTCGACCCGAGCTATGCCACCGTGTCCAACGTCCAGGAGCTCTGCAGACTCTGGGACGAGGACTACAACTACCAGTCGCTGCCCAACATCGACCGCGCGCTCAACCGGGCGCTTCTCCGCTTCTTCAAGCGCGGTTTCACGACCTGGGACGAGTACCAGAGGCGGGCGACCTGCGCGGCGACGGTGTTCAACCTGATGGGGGTGTACGCGGGGCAGCAGACGCAGGGCACGGGCGGCACGCAGTGGTACTCCGTCGAGCTCGAGCCGGGGGTACCTACCTATTTTCCTCCCTATGCTTCGCTGTACGTCTTCCGCGACGCTTCCCAGATGGAGATCCCGGCGGCGTGGTGGGTGCAGTGCGTGCTGCTGGACTCTTCCGTGAACGTGGAGCTCCTTGAAAGTGCATCCACCGACCAGGTGCCGTGCCGCGGGTGGGAGAACGCCAAGACCGCGGGGTACCAGCCGCAGACGGTGCGTGACTTCCTCCTTAGCTCCCCGAGGGTGTACCTGGAATCCGGGATGAACTCGCCTACCAATGAGACGCAGATCGCGCTGAGCATCTACGACAACCTCTTCGAGCAGGTGTCCCTGGCAAGGCACACCGTGCAGGGCGCCATGGGGGGAGGGGAGCATCGGCTTTCCTATGTGTATTATCGCACCTTGAAGGACCTGTATCTCACCGACGAGGACTACAATGAATTCGCGAATGCGGTCGACAGTGGTGGCAACAGCAACAACGATAAGGTGTTCAAGACCAATGCCGTACCCCGGGATGACGGGACATACCCCTTCTACGACGATTCCGACATCCCCGGCATATTCCAGCAGGTGGTGAACTACATGATGAGCGGGAGTGTCAGGGATGGCTACTTCCCCCCCGGGTCGGGTGTGAACCGCCTGTCCAAGGCGATGGGATCGTTCACGAAGACGTCGCTCTCGGACGGCTTCCTCGATCTCGGCCCTGCGTACTTCGACCCATCCCTGGGCGTGCTGCAGTACACCCTGCCGACCCTGGCGCCTTCGTTCTTCGAGGCGGAGTTGGACAGGATCCTTGCGGGAGTGCTGAAGCAGGAGGATGACCTGCAAGATTGGAAAGATATCGGGCTCGAGTATGAGTACGATGCCTTCAAGGACTATGCCACCCTTGCCGACCTTTCCACAGGGACTATGCGCATGACCAAGTGCCTCAATGTCAACTTCAATACCTCCGAGCCCGGGGTGAATCAGAACTTCATCAGGCCATTCGTGAGGCTGCTGGATCAGAACGCCGGGGGTGAGGACATATATGTCTGTGACAGCGATGTGGGCTACGACAGGCGCACCGGGCAGAGCTGTGGGCTGATGCATGACTCGTTAGATGACAATTGCTCCACTCGATTCGTCTATCTCCGCGAGTACAACAACGGGGAGGGCATCGTGGTGCAGACGCATTGCAAGCAACCCCTCTTTGTGCGGGATCTGGTGGAAGACGACAAGCGTAAGATCGCGGACCTCTCCCGCCTCGACCTTGACACGGCAAACCCCGCGGGGGCCATCTGCCTCCGCACGGATTCCACGTGCTTGCAGGGCGGTGGGTTGGAGGGGAGTTCGGTAGGAGTGGTGTCCGTCGTTCCCACCTTGGGTGTGGAGGTGCAGACATTCTACCGCGAGATGCAGAGCGGTGACCCCAACTCCGACAAGTTCTACGGGCCGCTGTACCAGAAGGCTTCCACCCGCTGGTACCCAGCGTGGGTGGACTGCTACGGTGTCCCGGGGGTGACAGAGCAACCTCCAGGCCTGGACGGGCTGGGATAGGGCGCGCGTGGAGCAGGCAAGGGAGATTCTGCTTGCTAGAGAGAATGCGGAGGGCTCGAGCCCCAACCTACAGGTCCTGGACCTAGAGGCGATCTGGAATAGCAGCAGCACCCGCCCGGTGAGCTTCTCCGTCCGCTGCAACGTCTCCTCGTGCACCACCAGCACCGGGGTTTCGTTCGATTGCGGCAGCGACGGCCAGTGCAACGTCCGGATGGATAACATGGCCGTCCATGCCATGTCCCTGCGCCTGACCGAGCCCTCCGTGTACTTCTGCGCGTCCAGCGAGGCGCAGGCGAGGGAGCGGTGCCCGGCGCGGAGGACGAACGACAGCGTCCTGGTGGAGATCAGGAACAACCTCTGGTACTGCAAGGCCGACTGCGTGAGGAAGACGCTCCTGAAGTACGTCGGGAAGCACTCCATCAAGTACCGCGGACTCAGGGAGGACGTGCTGGGCTTCACCCCCTCGGACAGGAGCGCAATCGGGCTGAGCGATACGAGCAACGCCCGGGACGGCTATTCGCAGAAGGACAGCTTCCGGCTGGTGCACCACCTGATGAGGAAGCAGATCTTTGGCTCGGGTAACGCGCTCCCTGGCTCCATCTACAACAGCGTCTGGATGAAGCCCAGCGCGCTGAGTGCCTCCTTCATGGACCGCCACTCGCTCTACCCCTTCCAGGCCCTCACCCTGTACGATTACGTGAATTACGTCGAGCAGGCCGACACGATGCGGAAGCAGCCGCTGGACACCTGCATCAACCAGGCGGTCGACGTCACCGAGTGCTCGAAGGACCAGATCACGGGGCAGCGCGTCCATCGCAGCAGCCTGGAGCAGTGCGCCTCGGAGCTGAAGCGGAGGTCTTCCTTGGTTGCCAATCCGGGCTACGCTGTGCTTGTGAAGCTGAGGGGAGAGGAGCTCACCTCTTCGCATCTGCTTCATTGGGCGGCGGCATCGCGCCCGGAGAGGGACCGTTTCGTCGACTGGGTGACGAGCGCCGGCCGTTGCTCGGAGACGCGCCAGTCCGAGGCGGTGTGCTACCTGACCGGGGACGGGAATGTGTTCACCATCAACCCCTGGCTGGGCGGCGGGTTCAATATCCACGAGGCCTGCGACACCGTGCCGCTGCCGGAGCAGCTCACCCGGGTGATCAGCGCGGACTGCTTCCCCCAGGGGTCCGGGACTTGCAGGAATTACACCGCCCTGGTCTATACCCCCTGTGTCTCCAAGAACAATCAGCCCCCGAGCAGGACGGACATCTTCACCTCCGCCTCCAACAATCTGTGTGAGAAGGCGCCGCGCCCCAACTCAACCTGCCTGCAGAGGCAGGGTCTGTACGGGGGCGGGGAGGGGGAGGGCATGACCGATCTGTACACTCGGCCTTTGTATTCCATGCCCTACTCGGGGATCTTCGGCATGGAGCCCAACCCTTCCTACCATTCCAGGACTCCGTCCAATGGCATTCTAAGGCAGTCCTTCATGGATCTGGGGGGTGGTTTCTTCGTCGCGGACCTTCAGACCCTGGAGGATGGGATGACCGACAACCTGCTGCCGGCCTGCATGCCGCTCTGGTACCCCACCAAGGCAGACGGCTCCCCCGACCTTGCGGGCAGGGACCCGTGCTCGAACAACAGCATGGACTGGCTCTCCTCTTACTCCGTCGATTCCCGCGTCGACTACGACCTTAACCGGGTGGATCTCGGGAACACCGTGGCGGAGGGCCAGCTGCCGCCGTGGGACTGCCCCGTCCGGGAGATGCACTTCTGGGGCGGGGGCGACGCCTCCTTCCGGCCCAGGGCGCCATACGGGCCGAGGGCAGGGGTGATGTTCTTCGAGGCGAGCAACATGGGGGGGAGTGCCGGAAACGGGATGTCGAATCCGGTGCAGCCCTATGGGGTGGAGATGCCCGGCCTGCAAAGGCCGTACTTTGCATCGGAGATCTGCAGCTGCTCCTCTGCGGGGGACTGTTCGTTCCAGGTCGTTTCCAAGGAGAGCTGTTCTATCCTTTCAACGGTTGATTTCCTCTCGGGGGAGAAGTGGTACACCCAGCAGGCGCACGCCGGGGCGGCGGGCTGCCGGACCTCTACTGACTGGCCGCACTCGGGGGGCATGCTAAGGGACGGGACTTACCTGACCGCCTCTGCTCAGGACTGTCCCGTCCACGACCGCCTGCGCGAGTTCCAGCTGCGCTACATCCCTGTGCAAGTCACAGCGGATGCCGGGAGGACCACCCTGGACGAAGGCGGGGAATGCCACATGGGGAGGATGGTCAGCGTGCCTTCCACCGTCCCGCTCGGGGGGCAGTGCCACCGCTACAACTACTCCCACCTCGAGTGCTCGGTGACGGCTATCTCCGGGGGAGAGGGTGCAGTGACGGAGGTTAGCTACCACCACCTGGATGTTCCTAGGTCGACCATGTACCTGGAACAGCTGTCACGGAACTTCCGCAGGCGCTGCGGGCAGTGCCAGGCTCCCCCCAAGACGGAGAAGTTCGTCAACAGGGCTGATCGGAGCATCCATGGCGTCAGCTACCTCGCCGACGGCCGCTTCACGAGCTTCGGCGTGCCCGTCAGGCTGTCCCTCGCCCGCATGCTGGCCCGGGACATACGGCAGCAGGTATGCGGGAATCAGGCGCAGTGTTCCCTGCTGGACTCCGTGGCGAACACGAACGAATGGACGATCGACAACTTCATGGGGAAGTACCTCCGTGACATCGCCGGGCTCTTCACCTCGGGAGGGGCTGCGGGGAGCATCACCCCGCCTGCTCCCAGCCTGGTGGACGACACGATGTTCTGGGGGCGCAACTGGACCTTCTGCACGGAGACGGAGCGCAACCTGACGACCGGGCAGTACCGACGGGAGTGCTTCGGGAGCATACCGAAGGACACCTGGATGCATCCCTCGCTGCGCAGCCCTTCCTGCAAGTCCGCGATGCTGTCCAGCACCCCCACCCGGGCGGCGATGATCCCTGTGAGGATCTGCACCCTCGATGCCACGATGAACGACCTCTGCATCCGCATCGGTGACTTCATCCAGCGCATCCAGGCGGCCAACTGCAAGGCAGCGGGGGTGTGCAGCGACCAGAAGTTCCTATACAACCCGGCGGCTTACAGCATCTCGAACCAGCAGTTCATCACGGAGACGGTCCTGGACTTTTACGAGTCGGTGTCCGCCGGGGTCTGCGCGGCGTCCTACACCACGGGGATGGTGGCCGAGGTCATCGCGCAGAACAATGTCATGAGGGGCAAGTGCCCGGCCCAGATGCTCGTCCCGGTGCAGACCACCATCTCCCAGCTGCGCCAGGTCGTACAGACGCTCGTGAAGCTGGCGTATTACGTTGCAATGATCGTGATCAACTTCCTCAGGCTGGTCACCGGGTTGCCCTCCAATGAGGTCATGCCAGACGTCTTCCGGTGGCTCGACCTGTTCATTAACGAGGCTAAGGTCCTCTTCGACCAACTGGGAAACATGCTCTTCGGGATCATCCAGGCGACCCCCTTCGGAGAGCAGCTAATGATCATCATCCGGATTATCTGCACACTCTTGAATTGGTTCATCATGTACTTTTGGCTCCCTGTCATGTGTCCCATTCTTCAGGGTGTGGGTCATGTCTCCCTCTTTATCGCTAACATCCTTAAGGGAATTGCGGAGATATGCATCCTTGGTATATGCCCTTTTGAGTGGATCACATACCAGATCCCGTTAAAGGTCGGTGAGATGCTCGTGGGCATGGACTGCACCCCACGAGAGGTATTGGACTGCAACATCGGGGATAACTACCAGCCCAGCGCCGGGGACGGGACGCTCCCCACCCCGACGCGCTGCTGGGCCAGCTACTTGAGCAGCGTGGCCGATTCCGGGAAGTTGTCGTGCTCTGGTGCGGACACCTGCGCCAGGGGGTTGACCTCGGACAATGCCGATACGGTAGTGTGCGATGCGTGCCCCTTCGGTGCCGACGTCACCGTCACGAACCGTTTCGGCTGCGACCCCATCCGCAAGCAGTGCTCCTGCAATGTCCAGCAGATCTCGCAGACACCCTGCATGACGCACGAGCAGTGCATCAACCAGGCGGGAGCTACCTGCGTGTTCATGAATAGCCGCGTGGAGCAGACGTTTGGGAACATACCCTGTGGTCAGTGCACCAGCCAGCCCATGTGTGTGATCCAGCCTGGGCAGACCTACGGGTCTTGCTCTTGCTTCTTGACGAAGGTGGTACCGGAGTCTTGCTCTGTGAGTGAGGTAGGGATGAATGTTCAGTACAAGCTATCCGGGCTGTGCCTGGCGCAGGTTTCAGGTAGCATGGGCGGCTTCACCGCCGAGACGAGCTCTACCTACACAATTAGCTACAACAACCTCCTTGCAACGCCGTGCTACAACGCGGATTCTTCCAGGATCTATTGCTACAGCGTCTACAGCTCGGCCTTCAGCTACGCTCCCATGCTCGTCTCCCTGGGTGTCAGCGGGCTCTCCGGTTCCGGCTCCCAGTCCCCCTACGGCAGGCGCTTGCTCGGCATCGAAGGCGCTCCTGACTTTTTCAGCCACGACGAGCTCTGCATGGACGCCTGGGACGACTTTCTCGCCACCAACCGCAGCACGAGGGTGATGGCCGGTTGTGTCACCCGGTTTGCCGCGACCTACGACGTCGTGTCGGCGCACGGGCTGCTGGACTACATCCCCCCGAACATGTTTGTGAGCTGGGCGGACTTCCTGACCACAGTGGGTGACAGGCCGGACTCCCTCCTGGTCCTCCTGTACTCCCCTGGCCTTGCCTTCGAGCTCCTCCTCCGCACCCCCCTGTACCACCGCCTGGTCAGGCACTACCGAGCCTGGACGGCCGCGCTGACGGAGCTTTACCTCGACGTGACGGTGCACCGCAGGATCCAGCCCAACGGCGGGCTGCACTATGAGGTGGACGCAGAGGGCGGCGTGTTCATCCATGGGCACAACATCAGCGAGTTTACACTCATTCTCCTCAATCTGCTCCACAGGTTTAATCTGAGCGCGAATACGTTGTACCCTGGTAACGTATCCCTTGCCATCCGCAACCAGGAGTCTGTCCGAAAGTTGCTGTCTATGACAGCCACCTCGCCACTCGCCACGGAGCTTCTCTACAACGGGACGGGGATACAGGAGAGACTTTCACGCAGGCATCTCCTCATGTTTACATCGTGGAAGACCCGCATGGAGGAGGTCCAGCGCTTTACGGGCACTGTCGCCTTGAACGACGGGGTCCCGATGGCCGTGGGAAGAGAGACGGCGGCGGACTGGGTCGACAGCCCGTTTGCCTGGCCGCTCCAGTTCGACTTTGGTGGGACGATCTTCGAGTGCCCGCTCCTCGCCAGGACGTTTGAGTTGACACGCGATGCATTTACCAACACATCGCTGTACTACGCCAACGGGCACACCCTTAAAGCAACCCCCCGCAGCATCGTCTCGGGCAGCTGGCCCTTCAGCAACCTTCCCTACCGCGGGCCGGTGCCTCCCTTGAAGGAGCCCGCCCGGCAGACCTTCCTGAACATGCTGGTGTTCCGGGCATTGCAGTGGATCGACCAGACCCCCTTCAACCGGCAGTTCTTCTACGACCTCTTCAGCGCCTTACCCGGGATGCTCAGGGATTTTGCCCGCTGCGACCGCCAGGCGGTGATGCTCTGCAGCCGCCACCACTACACGCTCCTCGTCTCGGGCTTCGTCATCGCCGTGGTGTGGTCTGGAGTGTCGCTCGTGGCGTCTTCCTTCCGCATCCCGTACCTGACCACATTCCTCTGGATGGTTCCCACCTGCATCTTCCAGGATTTCGTCGAGGTCCTCAACTTCTTCTTCCCCGCCACACTCCGCTTCCCCGACAGTCTGCAGAAGAGCCCCGGCTGTCTGGACGCAGCCCCGAATGCCACGGCCAGGAAGGACTGCCTCCTCTCCTGCTCCCTCCAGCCCTTTGAGTACGTCTCCTGGGAGTCCGAGGTGGCGTGGTGGACTTGCTTCGCCTCTACCGGCCTGTGTCGGTCCGTCGATGGCGTGGTGACGAGCATGCCCCTCCTCAACAAGCTGACCTCTCTCCACCGCGATCTCGTCGTCAAGGCCGCCATCGTGGAGGGCGAAAACGCGGACATGATCCTCGCCCAGTCCGTCTGCGCCGCGCTCAACGTATGGAGGGTCATACCCATCGTGATCCTACTCTTCATCGTCATGTACGCCTTCAGCGTCATCGCCACCTTCCCCTTCTTCGTGGTCAACGAGTTCGTCCGGCTCGCGATACAGGGCGTCATCATGAGCCACACGGACTGAAGGGGACGGGTTGTATTTAAACGAGTTGTGATGGGTATGTTTGTCGTACTGAAGAGGAATGCAAATTAATCACAAAATATACGCTACTTTGATTGCTTCTCGCGAGCGCGATGATGCCATAATGCGTATGGTAGAGACGTTAATATCCACCCTTGCTTCCGAGCCCCGTGTTTCCAGGCCCTTCGATTCCAGGGGTCGTACTCGCAAGGAGGCAAAGCTGGCCACTCTCGAGATAAATGATAAAGTCTACTTAGAGCGTATCGAGGAGGTTCAGGAGTTCATCGACAGGAAGAACAACGGCGACGAGACGCCATGGAGTAAATGCCCATGTTTCTACAGTATCAAGTATCATACCAAGAAGGAGGTGTCTTTCGAGTCTTGTCAGGAGTACATCAGCATTATGTCATCCAAGATCATTGCCAATCAGCAGGAAATCATCAACTCCACTGTGTTTGAGTCACGCAACCCCATCCGCTTTGTGGTTAAGAGCCACGACACCAAGCGTCGCAAGCTCAATGTGTTCGAGACCGAGGATTAAGGTGTCATGCGAGAGGCAGTAGTCGTAGTGACTAAACCGCAATAAATGTTCAAAAATAACCTGTCTCACATGAACTGCTAAGATACACGCAGATTGCACGTATTTAAAGCGATGGGGTGGATATGAGTGTCTTTCCGAAGAAGAATGCTCTCCGCACCGACTCAACGCACTACCACGCTCACCGACCATCAGGTCGATCTCGACAAGATCGACGATGACATTGATTATTACAAGAAGCGAATCAAGTTTCTGCAGCAGGACATACCCAATATGGAACTGCACATGCAGTTCGCAGATGAAGACTCTAAGAAGTATATCAGGGTCTACATCAATTGGGCTCGTAGCGAGATCGAACGCTACAATCAGAAGATCAAGGATCTCCCAGTACCGTAAGTCAAAAGACTAGTAGCTGTAGTGTGTACACTAAAACACAATAAACGTTCAGAAAATTCACACTACATCTTTACTCGGGGGTTAAATGATGCAGCAGGAGGTACTCCGGGGAGATGGGGTGCTTGTAGGGGAGGAAGGGCATGCCTAGCTTGATCCGGATTTGCGAGATGATGTTGTACATCTCCGTGTAGGCTTGGAAGATGTTGGGCTCGATGCGTTCCAGGTTTTCGAGGACGTCCCCATCGCTGTACATGACAAGGCTTGCAATCTGTTGTTTGCTTAAGACTTTCTGGTGGCCCTTGTTCGTGCGGATGACATCCTGCATGACCTCCCATGTTCTCTGATCCACGTTGTACAGGGCGGTGAACAGGGGTGCGAGCTTCGCCTTCCTCTCCTGCATATCACGGATGAAGTTTCGGAACATGTCGCGCTGCTCGACGAACATCTCCACCTCGTGCTCCACGAGTATGATGGTCTCCCTCGGGTACCTGGTGTGGATATGCTCCGTGCTGTTGTCCTTGATCAGGAGGAGGATGTCGCTGTATTTGAAATCGCCCTTGCTGATCACCTTGATCATGTACATGCGCGAATCCCACATGTAGTCGAGCGCGATATGCAGGTCTAGCTCCGATGTCATTTCTTCAGAATCCGGTCCATCCAATTCAGTCCCTCCCCGTAGCATGGCAACGCGCCAAATAAGAAAAAAAAGAAGCTTCTTTTTGGTCACCGGGGCTCGGATGGGAGGACCTGGAAAAAAGGAATGGTCAGCGGGGGACGGTTATGACAAAGCCCTGCGAGCAATGCTTTGTCTGCAAGCGCTGCAAGCAGCTCAAGGCGCCGAAGCCTGGCTGCACCACCTGCCGCAAGTGCCCGGACTGCTGGGACACCAGGGTGAGGTGCTGGAGGGCGGTGAGCGACCCTTTCGTGGTTCCGAAGGGGTTGGCGGGCCACAAATGCCGCTGGCAGTGCATCGACTTCGACCTGGCGGGCTGCACCGAGTGCGGGGCGATCCACCGCTGCGACGCGGCGACCTGCCCGGTGTTCGAGGAGGAGGACAGCCACGTCTGCACCATCACGGGGAACTGCGTGCGGCTGAAGCGCTTCACCCACGACGAGTTTATGGACAACGTGGTCATCTCCGACCTCCCAGGGCCAGTGGAGCGGGAGATGCGGCTGCTGACGGATGAGCGGGAGGTCAGGGAGAACGTGGAGTGGCTCCTTTCCTCCCGCACGGCGCGGCAGAGCTTCGAGCAGGAGCGCGGCCGCATGGAGCAGAAGCACCGGCACCTCCTTTGGAAGCTGCTGCGGGAGATCAAGCTCCGGGGCGGCATACCGAACCTCTGCCAGGTCATGACGCAGATCCTGCACGCCACCAACAAGATCCGGGTGTGCAACACCAGCTTCCAGCCCGAGCTGAGGCAGGAGGTCGTCGGGCGCTGCGTGTACAGCATCGTGCGCTTCCTGAACCTCATGGGCCAGCGCTTCCGCTCCGCGCTCGGCGCGCTCAAGACCTCCACCCTCGTGGTCGGCACGCTGTACCTGATGCGGATGGGTATCTCCATGCACAACATCACCCTGCTGCCCCGCATGCCGCAGCTCCAGCTCATCCTCCCGATGGAGACCCACCTCAAGACCTTCTTCCAGATCAAGTGCAAGAGCATCACCGAGGTCGAGAACCTCATCAAGATGTGCCTGCGCGGCCTGAGCCCCGCCGAGCTGGAGAGGATGGGCTTTACCATGGCAGAGGAGGTCACGATGTGATGAAGGGAAAGATAACAAATGGTGTGGGTTTTACTCACTGCTACTACGACACTGGATGACTAGAAACGGGATGCAACTTCAGCGAGGAGCTCCAGGTTGCTCATCGCGGCGTCCTGCGGCAGGAAAAACACCCGCATGTGGTTGTGGAGCTTCTCTGTTCCACAGTAGTATTTCGCAAAATCGATTTGTTTTTTCAACTCGTCCTGGAACTCATGAAGGAGTTTACGATGGTGTTCAGTAGTCTTGTCGGCCTGATTGGGTTGGTTCTTGGATTTCAGCTTGTCTCTGACCTTATAAACGATGGTATTCAATCCGCTGAAGTAACGGTCAGAGGTCTCCTTTACGTGGTCGAATTCTTTCTGCTGGAACTGAAGACAGCGAGTGTGGACAAAAGCAGAGCTTGTCATCTGCAGCTTTTCGTAAACCTCGATGTATAGATAAAGCATGTTGTTCTTTTCTAACTGGTCCCGGAACTTGTACATGCCTCCTGTGGTCTGCACCATGAGATCGTGACTCAGGCTGTTCGTGGATTTGCCGGTGTACAAGGCGATGAGGTCGTGTATGGTGGGCATTGCACCCACCTCGACGTACGAATCACCCTTGACGTAGATAAAGAAAGATGGAAAAAAAGTTATCATCGTCTTGGTGGAAGCCATGATACAATAAGATGTTTAAATACACGTTTCGTGTCACGGATACAACGGTAAAAAAAAGTGTGCGGTGACGCAGAGAAGTGCGTAGCCAGAGATGGACGGGAGAGGAAATGCGCGCGTGGCGCTACTTCAAAGTTAAGATCCTCCCCATCACGCGGAAGTGTGCCTTCTGCCCACCCCCCATAGCGCTGAGGCCGTGGGAGCCGTGCCCTTGCCCCTATCTCAACACCCGCAGGTGCATCTTCGAGAGTGAATTGAAGAAGAGTGAGAAACGGCTGCTGTGTGAAGGGAAGTAAATGCTTGAAGGTTATCAGAAGAATCCCCAGTGCCTCTTCCTCTTGACCCTGATCACATCCACCTCCGTCATCGTCACGGGCGCGGTGGACTGCAGCACCTTGACGTGCACGGAGATCCGCTTCCCCTCCACGGGGGCGACGCCGACGTTCTGCACCCGCACCGGGTTCGCGTCGCGGATGAGCTGCAGGTCCGTCAGCCCCACCATGGGGCTCGCCGTCTTTGCCAGGATCACAAAGCCGTCCTTGGCCGTCCGCACCTCGTAGTCCACGAAGCACAGGTCCCTGGAAAGCCCCTGCATCACCGCCAGCACGTTCTCGATCACCGCGCGGTCGTCCGCCTTGATGCCCGACAGCATGCCGTCGATCGGCAGGATCGAGCTCGACATACCGGGGTGTCAATGCGTGTGGGAGGGAAGTCGGGCTTCAAATACATCTCAGGGCACGGCACACAGAAAACAGAGGTCTTAATATTCGAACGGGTTTTAATGTATCGGTACGCTACACCTACGTTACGTCTACTCAGAAAATCCAGTATAAGTAGACGGCCACGATGATCTGTATGCCATACAAGATTCTTACGGCTGATCCGCCTTGTTTAGTCTTGAAAATATCGATATATTTAGGATTCATGTGGCACACCTTTCCATGTGACGGAGGAATCGTTTCTTGCAGGTAAGGTTTGATCACAGTGGTGACAACAGACATGAGAATAAGATAGGGACGCTGAGCGCGTGGCGAAATCAGAATAGTCGCCACGAACAATGCCATGTGCACCAGGGTGGAAATGAACGTGATCTTGATGCAAGTCAAGAAATGATATGGCTCTACCTCCCATAGCTTGATTTTGATTTCTTCTTCGTCCTTTTTTTCTTGTTGTTCTTCATTGTCAACACCGTTGTTCCCGACGGCTGCTTCTCCGCGACGTGGTGGTGGTTGTGCTGCTGCTCCTGCTGCACCTGCTGCTGCACCTCCTGCTGCTGCTGCACCTCCTGCTGCTGCTGCACCTCCTGCTGCTGCTGCACCTCCTGCTGCTGCTGCACCTCCTGCTGCTCCTGCTGCACCTGCACCTCCTGCTCCTGCTGCACCTCCTGCTGCTGCTCCTCCTCCTGCTGCTGCTGCACCTGCTTCTGGTTCTGAGAAATCGGGTTCAAATTTGATATTTTCGGCTCTTCCTTCTATTTGCGTTGCCACGTGATTATTCGGCTGAGTGAAGTAGGTTGATAACAGGTAGAACATGGTCGCCAGATGAATCATAACAAGCGTGAATTGTACGTGTATGATAATTTCGTCGAGAGATTGCTGTACCACGTCCAATTTTTGTTTCTCCGATTGGATGTATGCAGTCAAATGCTTGATCGACTCATGAACATCGTCAGGTATATCACCCAATGAAGAAAAAGCAGCGAGTGAAGCATTATTTCTTTTGATGTTACCGTGCAATTGATCCAAAAGAATTTGCGTTTGTTTCATGCTTGCAATCTTGACGCCGTAACCATTGACATACAAGTCGAATAGTATCATTACGAGACAGTGGAGACAGAGCAGTATCATGGTATTGCCCAGATTCGAGAAGAATATGTAGTTGTAGATATTGATACTCAAAAACGAATTACATTCGTACTCTGGAAGGAATTGAGTTCCAAAGATCAACGCAAAGTTCAAGATAATCTCGAATGCAATATACCTTGTCATTCTTAGATTGATATCAATGTGTGTTATGTCGAACTCCATATCGAAAGGGAGACATACCGTGAAGAATACGATCATGCAGAAGATGACACCCGTCTGCACCGTCGCAAGGTGTGACCATCCTCTTGCAAACATAACACTCGTGATGACGGTCTTGTGCACCAACCAATAGATAGTATAGGTGTAAAGTTCCAATGTTTCCATGATCTGTACATGGCAGAACAAGTAATGCATCGGTCGCTTGATGATCCTTGCGACCCAGCCATTCTGCACGAACTTGTTGGTCTCCTTGATAACATCCACAATGTTGAAGATGCTCTTGTCCTTGGATTCGGAAAACCGTTCAACCATATCGACCATCCAAATGTAGGCTGCAATACCGATAACGGCCCAAAAGATAGCTGTCTTTATCATGATGATTGCAGATTGTCTCTAGACCACACTTAAATACACCGTACTGCCCCAGCCCGGGCCCTCTGGATAGCCCGGACAGCCTGGACCCCGGGGAAAAAAAAAATCCGCAGGGGCAAGCTGGCGGGAAGGCGGGAAGGCACGGGCCGAGGGGCTCGCCGCCATGGACCCATGGGATGATCCCCTGTGTGCCCGTGCGCTGCTGCACCTCTGCTTGTGTGAGAGCTTCGAGTTGTACGGGATGCCGCTGCGGCTGGCGCGAAATTTCGAAGTTGAGTACAACTGCTTCCACCGCGGCAAGCATGAGGGCTGCACCAACGAGCGCTGCGCCAAGAAGAGACTGCTTGGGGACACGCCGTGCCGCACCCTCGCCACGTGGCTTCCGAAGGATCGCGTGGGGATCACCCTGTATGTAGACTCCGGCCTGCGGACCTTTGTCGGCATCCGCGGGAGGGTCATGCTCGCTACGGAGCAGGTCATGCAGGGGAACGTCCTGCCCGCGGAGACGCTGGTTCTGGCGCACTTTGTGCTCGACCGCGTGGAGGGGGGCAGGCTGGAGCCCCGGGTGCTGGTCTTCGACGTCTCTCTCCTCGGCGGGAGGGACATGGAGGGTCTACCACCCTCAGAGCGCTACTCCGCCCTCCTCAGCCTCTTCCGCAACCGGGGCGGCATGACGACGCTGCAGTGGGTCGGGGAGGAGGCTTCCGCGGTAGCGCAGCTGGACGGCCTGAGGAAGAAGCTCCCACATGACGTCGAGTGCGTTGTGAGCGTGGGGTGCGACCCCTGGCTGCTCAGCCGTGTGATGCACGTGAACGTGGGGAAGGGGAGCCTACGATGAAGGGTGCTATTTCAGACTGTAGGCCATTTGCTGAAGAATAAAACCTTGTGAATGGCGTCTCATGCCCTCGACCGCATCAACACAGAAGCACTGCGTGACCCGCGGAAGCTTCGGGTGGTGCAGCCATCCCAGGGCGGGATCCAATTCATCTCCCCCTCCTCCCATAGGGAGAAGACGTCCGTGCTGCGCATGTCCGGGGCGGCGTCGTCGCGGCTGGTACGGAAGAAGGCCGAGGACGACACGCCCGAGGCCATCACCCGCTTCCTGGGCAACAAGGTGACGGGGCAATACATCCAGACGTGCCGCAACATCTCCGTCGACTTCAACCTGACGACGTCGGTGATCCCCTTCCTACTCGCCAACCTGAAGAGCGTGAGCCACGAGGAGGTGCTGGGGACCGTCTTCCGCGAGATGGACCACGAGCCCCCCTTCGTCGACTGGGCCTGGGTCAGGGAGAATATCACCAAGCCCAACACCAACAGCCTGGGAGACACGAGCTGCTGGCTGACGTTCATGCGTCACATCCACTTCAGCGACGAGATCGAGACGGAGACGGAGCGCCTGCTCTGCTTCCACACATTCAAGAGCCTCTTGAGGAGCGTTGGTTTTGTGCATAAGGATGAGATTGGGATCAAAGATATGATCAAGGTGTACCTCCTGCTCAACATCGTGGGGCTCACGGGCCACCACGCCATGGAAAGATACCTATCTGATGTCCTCGAGGGTAACATTCGCACGCGCTGCCTGCAGTTCGCCGCCAAGCTAGGGGACCAGAGATACATGACGGAGGACTACAATGAGGCGGCGGTGAGCGTGCTGAGTTGTATCACCATCTCCCCGACCTTCACGGGCGACATCCAGGTCCACATCGCGACGAAGAAGGAGCTTGACATGCAGATGCGGCAGAAGGAGATCGAAATGTACAAGGGAAGACCACGGCTGTCGGCCTATCTGAAGGACAACCGTACTTCCCGCTGCGATATGGTCTCCGTGCACAACATGCATACCTTTGATATTTGGTTGAACTTCATCAAGTTTCCTAATACTATCAGTCGCAAAACACGGCACATGGTGTACCTCCTGATGAGCACTCCGAGTCTTACCCACTCGGACTGGATCAATCGCTGCCTCACCAAGGAGCTCGCCGCCTCTGTCCTTGCCACTCCGGTCACCAACCCGGAGCTCAACACCATCTGCCATATCATTTCAAGTATCGACTACCGCGCGCAGGCCTTCCGAGAGCTTGCCGAATTCAGAAACGAGTGCCTTAACGGTCTATCACAGAAGAATATGAAGGAGATGACACTATCGAGACTCATGCAACTCTACATATGCGCCTACCAGTGTAAGCACATCTGGAAGGACTGCTGGAGGTTCATCCTCCCGGTGCTGAGCTTCCCGCTAGTGCAATCGGTCGAGGGGTTCGTGAACAAGAACAGCATCAACGAGACGGAGGTGTACAAGGCGCTCATGTACAGTGCCTAGGGTGCGCGGTCTTCTCTTTCCGTTTTGATCCCGAGCCTCTCTACAGCATCATCAATGAATGTGTTGCGTATGTAATAGTATATGTCACTGAATGAGTCCCACATATGCATGGTTTGCCAGGAAAGACGTTCCGTTAAAAACACTTCAAATAGAAGTCGATGTGTGCGTAAAAACGGGTCAATTATATTTCTGATATCGGGAATGATATCATCTGCGTATATTGATAACATGTTTTTCTGCTGGGATGATGAGCAGCTTGAAATTATTTTTGCAGTGAGGACCATCTTTCGCATGATATGCACCGTGCGTTCTATGATATTCATTTGCTCGTTTACTATCTGTGCTTTTGGTGCTGTCGCCATCGAAGGTAAATCACATAAGATCCGTACAAATTGGATCCAAACATCGATAATGTCCAGTGGAATTTCAAGCATAAAAAAACCCGATATTTCCAAATGAGTGAGGTTAGATCGCCGATTCATGACATAATCCAACACCTTATCATAGTCCAAATTATAATCAAGATTCCAAATTCGACCCGGTATATCATCTAAATTCAAACCCATTACATCATGGATGAATCTCCGTAGGTGTAGTGCGATGGGTTGTAGTGTCTGCTCGTTCATATTTGTCCTATTAATACCCTGCATTTGGCGTTCCATATCCCAAATCCTCTCACACAAACTATCAATACTTTTTTGCAATCTCTCTCGCCTCTGCATTTTAAGCGTTCCATACACCTGAACTTTATATAACACTTAGCACGGCCGCATGTGGGCGCTGACCAGGCAGCACTCGAGCGGCACGGCGGACTGGGCGAGGCTGAAGGCGGGGGTGGCACCCCCCGTGGCCCCGGTCTCGAGCTCCTCGGGGAGGGGATCCTTCTTCGCAGCGTCGCTTACCAGGACCGGGAATGCGGGCTCGACGGGCACGGGACTGCGGCTGGGCCAGAGGAGGGAGAGGAGCGAGGTGGGATGGGGGCAGTTTGCCCTGGGCTCATCCCTTTCTCTCAACTGGACCTCGCTCATCTCGTTCGGAAAATCAAGCCGCAGCGGTGCTGCCTCCTGCGGGTTCTTCATATCGGAAGGGAGAAGCTCTTCCTTGCGCGGCGCGATCATCCCTTCTTTCTTTATAGAACACAGTGCTACAAACGAACTAAATATATCATAAACTACCCCGTAGTAAAGCCCACGTTGTCACAGACCATATCTTCCGTCTCCTCGGCGTAGCCCTCCTCGAGCAGGTGCCGGTAGTGCACCTCAAGCAGCATCGTCTCCAGGCTGTCCTCGAACTCGCCGTCTTTGCAGTAAGACATACCCAGGCACACCGACGGCCTCTCCGCGGGCACGTGATACACGTAGACGAGCCCATCCTCATCGTGCGTCGGGAGGAAGATCTTGTCCCGCGGGAGGAGGCTGGCTGGAAGGATCATCCTTTGCAGCTCCCCGACGAGCACGTGGTGCAGGTTGCAGACGTAGAGCCGGGCCGTGAAGGGCTCATCGCGCTCGAGATCGTAGAGTTCCACGGTGTAGGTTCCGTCGTAGTCCAGCATCATCTCCCCGGGCGGGGCGAGGACGACGCCGAAGGAGGCGATGGACTCCCTGCCCTCCAGGCCCTCGTACTTGTCGCGGTATTGTCTCCCAGCGAACACCAGACGGCGGCAGAAGATTCGGGGGTAGGGGTAGGCGCGCAGCCGCATGAGCGCGGTGTGCATGTTCGACAGCGGGATGCGGATGACATCCTCTCTCTCCATGTGGAAGTCCTGGTTCACGTTGAAGAGGTAGATGTCGACCTGCGGTGCTCCGTCGTCTATGATCTTGCAGAGGACGTACTGCCCTTCGGGGGTCACCAGGACGTAGAGGTTGAAGGCGTCGTAATCCAGCGGCATCAAAAACTCCGGGCCCTCGGTGCGGAAGTTGTCGATCATCTGCAGGTAGTCGAAGAAGGGGATGGGGTCGTCGGTGAGCTCCATGCCCTCCCGCATCCGCTTTGCCATGCCGACCATGTTCCCGCATATTGCTGTCTCCTCCTCGAAGAAGGGCGTGATGCTGGAGGCGTTGCCCTTCATCCTTGGCTGCGCGCCATGCCACTCGATGTCGTGGATGCGAGGGAAGAGCCAGCGGTGCGGCGGCAGCGCCTCCTCGTCGGGCAGGCGGAAGCTGATCCACTTGCCGAGGTGGTCGACCTGCAGCACGGGGAGCGCGCCGCGGGGCCAGTACGCCCTGGGCACCTTCCGCGTGATGGCAAACTCCACGGCCTTGCAGGTGGTGTGCTTCTGCTGTAGCTGGTGGAGGATGTTTAGGTTCTCCGTCTGGAACAGGGGGGCGAGCAGCACCAGAGCGATCAGGTTGACCGCCAGCACGCAGGAGGTCCTCCCGACGTAGACGAGGTTGAAGATGTTGGAGTTGCGGTTGCCCTCGTCCCTCAGCGCCGAGTGCAGGCTCATCTTCTTCCATCCCGCGGGCACGAGCTCGGCAGGCACTCCGAGCGCTTGCAGCAGCTCAACGAACTTGAAGCCATCTCTCCCGAAGATGGTGTCCATGCAGGCGCGGTTCAGCCGCTTGGCGCCGAAGAGCATCTGCAGCAGCTCGGGACTCAGCATCTCCCTCCGCAGGCGGAAGCTAGAGAAGGCATTCTGCACCTCCGGCAGCCCTAAGAGCAGGCCCTGGATCGTCTTCCATATGTTCTTCCCCGCCTCTTCCCCCTCCGCGTCCTCCATCTGGCCACTGGCGAAGAATCCCGCGTCCGCGATGAAGTTGGAGCGCCCCTCCGCGCTCGTCCAGTGCTCCCTTATCCCTAGGTAGCTATCCATCAGGCTGTCCACCTCCCTCGGCTTGGTACTGTACAAATCCTTGGTCTGCACCAGAAACTTCATGCGGTGCTGCACCCACACCCTAAGCGCCGTGAGCGCGGCAACCTCCTGCGCCGTCGCCCCGTCGATCCCCTCAATCGAGCCCGCCTCCACAAGGCGGACGAGGAGCGGGAGGGTGTAGCCCGTCGGCAGCTCCAGCTTGCGGATGCAGCAGCGCATCATGACGTACATGAACGAGTCGTAGGTCACGTTGGAGACGTAGGCGGACACCATGCAGTGCAGGGAGAGGTCGGAGAAGATCAGCTCCATGATGCTGTCTCGCACCAGGGCGTCGATGTCAGGCGTCGAGCCTCGCATTGTCTGCGCCAGCAGCTTCCGCAGCACGATGGCCTGGATGTGCATCGGAACGGCTAGAGAGAGCATCAGCCCCTCCTGCTTCCTGACGAAGCGGTCCTCCTCGTTCACATCCGAGCTCAAGAGAGGCTCCAAAATTCTAAAAAGGACGGCATTCACCTCCTTCTGCACCATGCGGGAGACACAATTGTTCTCGTTGCAGTAAAGACGGAACCCGCTCAGCGTGAAGAGCTGTGCGATGGCGGTGCAGGCATGCTGAACCACGATGAGCAGGGCGTTCTGCCTCGACCGGGTCAGGTTCAGGTCCACCGACTCCTTGCCCCTTCCGTCGGCCCGGGCCAGCAGGTGCCCAAGGTCGTGGGCGAGGGAGAAGCGCGCGGAGGTGGTGGACACGGCGGTGACGGCGTCGCTGCCAAGCCTGGCCCGCGTGTGGTTCTCCTGCTCGCTCGTCCTCAGGGGTACGCACGTGTCCTCCGCCGCCGATTCGAAGAATCGAAGACGCGCCGCGAGCGAGAAGACGTCACCCATCTCAGTCTCCTTGCGGTTTGTGGCGATGAGCATGATCCTTGGCTCCTCCATGAGCATGAGCTTCTTGTTGTAGTTCTCCCCCGTCTTCGCCCCGCCGTCCGCGTCCGACTTCTTGGAGCACGCCTCCCTAAGGAACGTCTTGGCCTGGCCCGTGTTCTGGATGAGCGTGTGGCAGTCCTCGCTCACGAAGATCAGCTTCCCATACTCGCAAAGCGGCACCGTGTCCTCGGGGTCCACCCGCTGGTCATTCTTCAGTGCTAGGGTCAGGCCCATGCGCTTCTTCTTCCCGTCCGTGTAGTTTGCCCCGCTCACCACCATGTCTGGGCTCCGTGTCTTGGCGAGGAGGAAGGGCGAGGATAGCATCTGCTCGAAGCACACCTGCGTGAAGTTGAAACCCGCGCTGTCGCGCTTGCTTCCCGCCACGCCAAGGAATCGCGTCCGGCCCTTGTCCTGGATCACCAGCTCGCTCTGGCACGCCGCGTCGACCAGCATGATTGTCGTCGCCCACGCGGGTTCCTTGGGCAGCGTGTAGGAGATTGTGTTCGTCAGCAGGATGTAGAGGAGGTTCAGGTTGCTGTTCTTAAGCCGGAAGACGCGATTGATCAGCTGTATGGTGCGCTGGAGGATCACAAGCGGCGTCTCCCACATACAGACGGAGGGGATGGCGCCCGCCTGCAGGATCTCGGTCAGCTGCGCCTCGAGCAGCTTTAGCACGCCGTCCTTCCCTGCGTCCTCCGCTAGCACCTTCAGCGCCCGCACCAGTCCGGCCTGCACGGGGGACTCGGAGACCGACGCCTGCTCGCTGATCCGATGGATTATCAGGTTCGCCGTCGAGACCACCGAGGTATACTCCCTGCTCTTCAGCGCGATGTCGAGCATAACGGAGAACATGCGATTTGTGCTGTGGTGCTTCCCGATAGTCCGCAGGTAGGCGTCCTTGACCTCCATCCCGGGCTCATCGCGCTGCTCCTCCACGTTGGAGATCATGTAGAAGGCCCACCTCGCCTCCGGGGAGCGCAGGCTCTCCAGGTGATTGGCCGAGCAGCGCAGGTTCTGCATCTCCTCCCGGAAGGCGTTCGAAGCCGCCAGCCTCGGGTCGCAGATCACACGGAAGAGCGTCGCGAAGATGCAGTTGCGCGTCACGTCGCTGGGGGACAGGCCGTCCCTTAGCCAGTCCTCCCCCAGGTTCAGCGAGAAGGAGAACGTCGCAGGGGGGAGCGGGGCGCACACCACCTCCCCCCTCACCCCATCCTCGTTGCGCATGACGTACACACCACGGAAGAGCCCATCCACCTCCGCCACGATCTTGATCTGCTTCATCTTGGTGGTGGCCTTGCACTGGTTCATCTTCTGTTCGATGATCCCGACGTAGCGCTGCACATCCTTGTGGACGCAGCCGAGGACGACCCTGCCGAAGCCATCGGTGGCCACCGGCACGTCACTGCTGATGATCTCGAGCTCCAGGCCCACCGACCAGTTGTAGAGCATCATGCAAAGGAAGGAAGGAGCCGTAATCCAGTGCATCATCGTCTTGATATCACTATCCGAGAGCATGTTCCCCTTGTTCAGGCACTTGACCATGCCGTCCAGGATCGACCACACCGACTTGCGCACCCGCGGCCCCAGAGAGTTCATCGACTCGATGAAGGCACTGTACGGATCCACCCCGCTCATGCTCCGGAGCAGCACCGATTGCGCTACAAAGATCTTCTCCACGTCGGAACTGTCCCGGCATCTCACCATCCGCATCTCCACAGAGGCGTCCAGGATCCCCTTGCTGATCACGAAATTCTGGTTGTTCTCCAGGAAGTTATCCACCACCAGCGTATAGTTCAGCGTGCTGGTGTTGTACGAGGCCGACAGCATATCCTTCATGTCGTCGGGGGAGAAGTTGTCGTCCTTCTCCATCTCTGCCAGCCGTTCGACATTCGACGCCTGTATGATCTCCTTGAGCTGGTAGTGGAGGCCCTCGATCTCCGAGCGGTTGAGCTTCACGCGCACCGAGTCCGCCTTGCTGCTCGCGTTGTCCCCCCGGTACTTCATAAGCGTCGTGTTGGTCTGCACCGTGAAGTTGGTAAGGCAGTGGCTCTTCCCGCCCTCGCTGATGTTGTGCGCCACACGGATCACGTCCAGGAGCCCGGGGTGCAGGTCCACCCCCTCCGTAATCACGGTGAACATCATGCTCGGCCCATCCGTCTCGAAGTGAAGCTGGTGAAATCGGTTCAGCTTGTCGTAGCACGCGAGGGGCTTTGCACAGCTTCCACCGATGGTGAAATCAGAGGTGAACTTGTTCCCCCACAGGCAGCTCCCAAACTCGTTGTTCTGAAGACGGGATATATCCTCGATCACGCTCAGGAACTCGATCCTGTCCCACTGGAACGGTGGGATGTCGAAGAAGCACTCCTCCACCGTCTCTTGAGTGAAGCCCTTCGGTAGCTGGTTTTCGTTGCAGACAAACTGATTCGTCTGGATGTGCAGGGCGCTGAGCTTGCTGACCTGGATTTCCCTCTCCTCTTCAACCGTGAGCTCGGGCACCTTCGTCGAATGCACCCCGTCGTCCAGGTCTGCCTTTCTCTTCGTCCCCCTGTTGCTGCTCAAAATTTTGTGATTGGGTCTCACTGGGATCGGGGCCATGGAAGCCAACCTCAGTGCCGCGCTGCTTATACTCACCCCAGTGCTCGAAGCGGCATCGTCTTCGGGAACCGAGCTCTGCGACAGCAGGGCAGCATCCCCCATGCCCTCGCGTGGCGCTGCGACGGCTAACATGCCCGGATTACCGATTCGGGCGGGAAATAGGCACCGACGGGCCGTAAGCTCAAATCCAAAAAAAAGTATAAAAAAACGTTATGGGTCGCAACTATTTTTTTTGTAGCCGGATTGGAAGGTCGATCGCATCCGGAGTATTTACCCTCCCACGCCAATATACAAAGGAAAAAAAGAGCACGAGGAAATGCACCTCACGCACACAGACAACCAGCAGAGGGTGGACCTTTGGAGGGGCGGGAGGGTGACGGACATTGAGATCTTCCTCGCAGCCAAGCCCTACCTGAACCGGAGGCTCGCGATTCACTATGGCGACGGGCAGTATGTGAGAGTTTTCGACGAGCCCGAGCTGAGCATAGTGAGCCGCATGCTCGCGGCCTACTACAACTTCGAGAGCGACCGGGTCGAAGATCCGCTTTCCGACCCCTTCTACAAATCGAGCCTGTGGAACACATGCGTCTTTGCTCAGGAGCCTGATGGCTCTATCATGCCAGTCGATGGCTCTAGGAAGAAGAACAGACAAGAGGAGGATGACCCAGGTGAGTCACAGGGGTGTATTTATTCCGAATGCGACGAACACACATCGAAATAATGGAGACGAGTATGGAGGCAGAGAGAGAGAGCGCGACAGACCTGGTGAGGGGAAAATTACACGATATCATGCTCCCCGCAGCCCCGCTCAAGACGACGCAGCTGCGCGAGAAGCTCATGGACCTCAACACAGACACCTCCAAGCGCGAGAAGCTCATGGACCTCAACACAGACACCTCCAAGATATGCCTAGAGTACCTCGATTCTTGCCAGAACGTCCGCATGATCGATCTCATGACCATATGCCACATCCTGAATAGGGAGCAGCTCTACATCCTCGAGGACGAAGAGTCCATCGTCGAGGAAGACTTCCTGCGGTCGCTGGAGAGCATCGTGTCCATCGCAGACTGACCAGATAAGCGCCCCTAAACGCTGAACACCGCCGACTGGGCGATCAGGATGATGGCCAGTGCTGCCTTGGAAGTCGTACTCAGGAGGTTGTAGACGTACTCCCGCAGGTAACCGTCGATCTTTGTCTCCTCCTTCTGGATGAAGTGGAAGTAGATCTGCGCCGCGGCGAAGGTGAAGAAAAGAACCAACTCGATAATATAGATAAGAATTGGATAGACTGTGTAGCTGCTGAGGTTTTTGTCATTGAGACAGTCGAAGATCCTCATGTAGTCTCCAAAGAGGTTGTTCCCGATGTAGAACCATATCATCACAAATAAGTACATCCCAAATAAGAAAGCCAATCCTTTCATGTAGTTCGTTATCTTCTTGAGGTCCTTTGGCTCCACACCCGGCATGCCCCATGCAGCATTCATCTCGACCCCGATCGTCCTGTAAGCCGGACTGACCACCGACCCCTTCTGCCACGGCATGTTGAAACGCACGGGGACGATGACCGCGCTCGTGCGGTCGGAGCCCCACGCTCCCCTGAAAGCCATCTCACTCCTCTCCATGTTACTATATTCTCCAGTATCGACCTTCTCATCCGGAACGCTTTGTGCCTCCCTGAAGAGACACTCCTTCGATGCCACGTAGTCCGCCGCCTCGACGACGTACCCCAGGAAGCACATCACCGACTGCGCCAGGGACACAAAGATCAGCACCCACACGTCCGTCGTCCCCGTGTAGAGGCAGATCACGACGATCATCGAGGAGGACGAGAGCGCGTACTCGATCCAGCGGTCGTAGCGGGGCAGGCCCTTCCGAAGCGGGTCAATGAATGCACCCATCATTATCGCCCTGTCGAGGTGTGCCAAGATTGTGACGACGACGAAGAAGAGGATAAAGAAGCTGACGGGGAAGAAGGATGTCTCCACCACCCTGGGTTGGTACATCCAGGGGTTGGAAGAGCCCCACCGCACCTCGTAAGGAGGCGGAGTATTGACACCACAGCGGTCTAAATCAGGATGGCTCCCCGCCTGCGGCACCGTGATCAGGCTGGCATTCCACAGGAGCGGCACCGTGCGCGTCGTCGGGGGTGTGCGGATTCGATTCATCGCCAGAAGGACGATGAAAGCGATTAGAAGGAGTCCATGAATGAACGCATTGAACAGATTGCGGTTTCTGGAGTACCGCAACCTATCCTCTTCTTTTACCCCTGCGCCCTCGAAAGCAAAGATCATCTTCAAATCATTCCCCAACCCCATGTGGTCACCTGCGATCCCTTCCTTCCCCACACTTACCCAAGCCCGCGTTTTATATGAAGTGAGTAACTCACAATACCCTCCTCAGTCAATCTTGAGCCCCGCGCTGAAGTCCACCGTTGGGAGCACCGCGTTAATCGGCTGGGAGAAGGCGAAATGCTGGTTGCCGCTCTGGTGCCCCTGCTGCTCCAGTCGTCTCCTCCGGAAGTCGTCGAACTCCGACCCAGTAGGGTCGTAGTTGAAGACCGAGCCCACCATCATGATGAACTGGAGGGTAAGCACACTGCTGAGGAAGTAGAGGTGAGGGTACGTGTTGACGTGGCCGGAAACCCCCGGAGCGAAGAGCCTCTCCCTGTGGCCGAGCGCCGCGTCCTGGTCCCTGAACAAGAAGAGCAGCAGCGCGGTCATCTGGAGGGCGAGGTTCATTAGGATGTAAATCGGCACTGTCATCGGGTATTTCGTCAGCGGGAAGTGCTGGTACCCATAGTCACCCAGGGCCTGAAGCAAGAAGCAGACCACCAGGGACCCGTTCATGATCCCGAACACGAGATAGAATTGGTTCCAGATCCCATAGCGGTCACCCGTTTCGGCCATCCAGGGCGTTGACCTCACGTCACACACCACCGTGCCGTGATTGGCCGCCATCTGCAGCAGCAGTGTCATCGCCGTGAGGTGGAAAGTGAAGCTCGTGTGGACGAAGACGCGGTTGCCCCTCGCCCTCATGGTCGTCGCGGCGGAGAGGAAAAAGTAGAGCAGCACGATGATGGTCAGCAGCACCGTCCAGAGTACAAAATAAAGGTCCTGCCACGGAAACATGACCGGGAACAGCAGCTTGGCCAGCTGCTCGTTCACCGAGAGCGTATCTCTCGCCCCTATGACCAGAGAGCCGTAGAAGATCCATATGACGGTCACCGCCAACACCGCCGTCAGCGCCCCGTTGACGACGGACTGGAAGCGGTGGTCTGTGATCTTCATCTTGTTTTCGACGAATGTGGCCAGCACCATGCCTACCACCATCAGCGCCGTGGCCAACGCGACCGAGCCCAGCGCCCAGAACGTCAGCGTGGGCACCGAGCCCGTGGGGTTGCTGGTGAAGCCACCCAGGGCAGTAAAGGTGGCATATGTGAAGAGCACCAAGACAGAGATCTCCACCACCCATACAAAGATCCGAGAGGGGGCGAAGGTGCGGTTGACCTTGTCCAGCGCCTCATCTAGTTTCATCTCCTCTTTCTCCATACCCAGCTCGTCATCCATGGAAGGATCATTGATGGGGGCATTCATGGGAGCATTCAAAGGAGTGTTCAAAGGAGTATTCATGGAGGTCATAAGAACCCTGTCCCGAGGGCGCCGGATCCTTGGAAACAGCGCACCGAGGTTGGACTTCATGGGATCTTCGGACAGGGTCGTTTCCGGCTGGGGCGGGGTGTTCCGTTTTCGGGTGTACTGTAAGGGAATGCGTAGCACGCCAGGTGACGTCGGGTGCGACCTTCGGCGGAGGACCAGTTTCCCGGGCACCACCTCCTCGCGCGGGAGCCCACCACCCTGCATTTCATGTCTACACTTACTTTACTAATTTTAATAGGCACACACCCACGTTAGCAACACACAAGTTACACAAATCAAATTATACACAGGACTTGACACACTCCTTGACTGTCTCCATCGCCCGGAACGCATACTGTTCGCACTCGAGCGTCCAATGCAGGCGGCTCTTGAAGGACACACGGACGCACAGGATGCCCCTCCGCGTCAGGGTGCAGTTGAATGTACTGCAGTTGTCGACCCACTTGCGCGGGAGGTCGGGGAACATGCCGGGCATGTCCTGCACGCTGAAGATGATGACGTTGTAGTGCTGCTCGGTGCGGCACATGAACCGGACGCAGTCGGGCCATCGCATGTTGAACAGGCGCTGCAGCATGCCCATCTCCGAAGTGTCCACATACCGGCCGACGTGGCAGTTGGCCCCGATCATGTTGACGGTGATGACGGGCTCCGAGCACAGCTCCTCCACCAGCGAAGACTGCAGCGTCGCAACGACATCCCGGGTGCTCCTGAACCCCCTGAAGAGCACGCTGGGCATCCCATCCTGATGCTGCAGGTTGCCGCTCAGGTGGTAGAGGTTGGACATGCGCCCGAAGCAGTTGACGTACACATCCAGGCACGCCCTGTACTCCGGCTTGAAGACGTCCTTCGTCTTGATGTTCGTGCTGCAGGAAACACCCCGAAGGTCCATCTTCCCACTCATGTTGTGGACGCGGAAGGATGACTCCTCCTGGTGGAAGTACTGGCTCGTCATGAGATCGTAGAAAGGGCCCCAGGCGACCAGGGCCTGCGGAACATCCCCGTTGCTGAACCCACCGGTCATATCGATGTCCAGGCCCACCGTGTAGCCATCCTTACCCTCGGAGCCCTGCACCGTCGCCTGCAACTGCAGGCCGCCCACCTCCACGCGGAAGGCCGTCGCGTCACCCCTGGCCCACACCCTCCTGTAGATCCTCATCGTCCCCCCCATGTTGAAGACGAGGACGTATTGCGCGTTCTTGCCCTGCGCATCCACCTTCCGCTCACTGTGGCTGGTCTTCAGGCGCTTCCGAAAACATGACCTCGCGGACAACCTTGTCATATCGGAGGCAAGATCCAAGGAAGCACCGAGACGCACAGTTCCACCTCGCATCCTCCACCGTCACAAGGGCACCGGTCGGGTTGAAGAGGGAGAAGTGGACCGGCTCGGAAACCAGCACCTCCACCACGCTCAGCTCACCGCGTGGCGCCAGGACGATGCGATGCAGCCCCACCCAGCGGAGGATCTGCCCCTGCAATTCCATAGGGGCGCAACGCGCGTTACCCCTCCCTGCACGCCGCCCCTCCCAGCACCCCTCCCCTACTTTTTTTTTACCAAACCAAACCCGACCAAAAAAAAAAGCGCGGGAAAGCGGGCCCGTGAAGGGTTCCTTGGCGCCCAACCCATGGGGGGATGCGGTCTTTTGTGATCTTCCTTTGCATGTGCCTTCTGTGTGCTCCATCCAGAAGCTGCCACGTCCTGGTCAAGGGCATATCGACGGTCCTGCGCGAGAACATCGTCTACAGCAAGCGTGAAATGCGCCAGTGTCTGAACCATATCATCCACTGCCCGCACTGGCACCGCAACTGCAAGGAGAACGCACACCACCAGAGGGTGCTGCTGCAGCCAGAGAGCATCGACTTCCTCGTGAAATCGGGATTGTATGCAGAGCTCATGGAGCTGGGTATCCGGGGAGGGCATCCTTCCCCGAATTGTGACAAGCCCCTTTCACACTGCAGGCCTCCCCAGGGCCCGTCCCCCGCCTAGGGTCCAGGCGGGCATCGCCAGGCGGTTGGCGTGGAGGTTCTGACCTATGTGTAACGACGCGTTCGTGGTCTTCTTGTCTTCCGCCTTCACGTCGGTCTTGGGAGAATGGCTGGGAGAATGATTGCCCAGAAGGAATACCATCAGCACCCCAGACACCGATATCACCAGCAGGACCTGGAACACGACGAGCTCCACCTCCCGCATGTTCTGCCGCGTCACGAACCTCCTGCTCACCGGGTCGTACACCACCTGCACGTCGTTGTAGAAGTCGGCGTCGTGCAGCGTCTGCGAGTGGAAGTTCCCCATGACTGCCAGGAGTACCAGCCTCACCAACTCCCCGTCATGGAAGAGACTCGCGTTGCGGATGTCCTCCAAACTGCCCAACGAGGAGAAGTTCCCGGAAATCGACAGCAGCTCCCCGTACACCGCGGAGAGCACCACCGGGTCGACGGAGCTCTGCACCGTGCTCCCGTCCCGCACCACGAAGATCCTCTGCACCTCCGACACCACCACGGGGGACAGAGTGCCGAAGAAGAACGACGGGGTTGCCTGCGATGCAGCACCGGAGTCGACAGAGAGGCAGAGCAAAAGCAGAATAAAGAAACCTTGCATCCACACCAAACAAAATACATCAAGTTGCATCCTATTTGGCTTAAATGCGGGCTGCCATATAAGATGTTATTATGGGCGTGAGGTAAAGGAAGATGGACCCACCTACTGCAGAACCAGTCTATCCACCCCAACAACTAATGATTCACAACCATCACATTTACCATCACACGGTTGACCAGTCTCATGAAAACAGCAATGTTCTCCTTCAATCCATCTTATGTTGTCTCTTCTTTGGCTGTCCATGGAATTTGCTCCTTTGCCAAGCGGAACCCACCAGGAGACGTACAATCTCGGTGCATCAAACTCACTATAATCAATACCCGCACAATCAATAAAAAAAGAGTATATCCACCTACATCGTTGTCCCATTCCTTGCCCACCCCATCCCTCACCCTCCCTCCAACACGTCTTCGCAGCCTAGGCCAGAGAGGCGGGGCCCAGTGAACCCCATCCTGCGCCACCTGCTCACCGAAGCCTCCGGGATCAAGAGCGCCAGGGTCGAGGAGCACGTCAGGCTCGTCCAGGAGCGCAAGCGACAGGAACTCCGCGACTACGTCATCGTCTGCATCCAGAGGCTCGACCCCCAGAGGCCCTCCCTCCTCCCGCCTCCCGACCACCACTCCAACGTGCACGCCATCATGGAGGAGACGCTCCGGAGGTGGAAGGATTAATAGAGAATAAGACAAGAAGACACCACAGGAAATGCTCGCCTTCGACATCGAGACCATGGGCCTCAGCATGCACCACCACGAAATCACTGTCGCCGCCGTCTACGACCCAACCAAGGGCATCCGCCACTGCTACAACTTCTACAGGCACCGCCACGACCGCACCAGGTGGCAGCGCGAGGTGGACGATTTCCTACGCACCCTCGACGAGGCCCGCACCCTCTGCACCTTCAACGGCATCCGTTTCGACATCCCCTTCATCCAGACACAGTTCAAGGTCGACCCGGAGAGGGTGGGCCGCTGGGTGCTCAAGACCGTCGACCTCTTCCACCGCTGGAAGCTCCTCCGCGACCACACCTTCTCCCTCGACAAGCTCCTCATCGCCAACGGCCTCCCCGTCAAGACGTCCAAGGGCTGCTTCGCCATCGATATGGCCAGGCAGCAGCGCTGGGACGAGCTCGAGGACTACTGCATGAACGACACCGTCCTCACCCACCTCGTCTCGTCCAAGGAGAGGCTCGTCATACCCTGAAGTTATTAAAATTCGAACTTTATTCTCGTGTACGTACAAGCTCTACTTGGAGTACTTCTTGGAAAGCATAACCTTGTGCTGATAGTCGAACTCAGAGATCCAGTAATTGAACATCACCCGCTCAATTGCCTCTCCGGTGTTGTTCTTCTTGAACTCCTCTGTGTACACCTCCGACCCGTCGGCCCTGCGCTTGATCCCCGGATTGGACGGTTGCCAGCCAAGAGCCCTGAAGTCCACAAAATGTTGGTCCTTCTCGCTGAGCAGGACAAGCGACTCTAGCTTCTTGATCCTCTTATCCTGCAACTTCGAATCATCGGGAGTTGGGGTAGGAGCACGAATGATGTCGAGGAAATTTTGCATAACAAGACCATGAAACTTCATAGGCTTCAGCATATCTCTCCAAAGCATCTTGAAGGTCTTGTGTACAAACTTGTCATCGAGCGACACATTGCACAGGATACGGAAGAAATGGCACCACGTCTTTGCCTCGTTCGTGCTCTTGTAGAGAGCTTTCAGCCCTTTGTCCTCATGGGTCAGCTCTTTGTTCTTCATCCTGACGACAGATGCCAGGAACATGGAAACACCAACCTTGACGTAGCAATTCTCGTAGCAGGGAACATCTGGCTTCTCCTCGTTCGATCGAAGGATGTCCAACATACCCAGGATAACATCCCTGGCAAGCTTATTGCGCAGCTCCTTGCACTTCGCGACCTGCTCATCCGGCGGGGCATCGTTGACCTTGGAGACATATATCCAGGCTATCTCGGTCATCTCATTCAGATTCTTATACTTGGCCACGGTCACTTTGTTCACAGCGTCATCGTCGGTAGGATCAACATTCGTATTGTCACGGATTGAGATCATGTACTTGCGGTATGAAAGCTTGCAATCCGTCTTGATCTGCTCAAACTTTTCCCAGCACATCTTCCCAAGCTTGTCAAAGTCGATGTCATACTCTGGTTCATATTCCACGTCCTGCCATTGCTGGAATATCGGCGACTGACCCTGCTGACCCTCTGCGGAGTAACCGTCCTCTGGAGTTGGTGTCTCTTCATCTTCTTCCAACACTTGCGTCTCCTTATCGTCTTCCTCCTCCAGAATCTGCGTCTCGTTATCCAAATCCTCCATCTTCTCACTGACGGGAGAAGGACTTGGAGTCGGGGTCGGTGGTATGATGTAGCACTGCTTCTTCATTTCATAGGGTATCTTATCGACGTAATCCCTAGGATCAAATCTCTGAAGCTCGATCTTGTAATCGTACAACGAAAGGTCTAGCAAGATATTGATAAACATTTCGATGCGTGACCCGACCGCTATACCAGGCTTTAAATACACTCTCTGTCTATTTAAAAAAAAAACAGAAAAAAACCAACAGAAAAAAAAATAATGCCCACCCTCCCGGACACCCTCCGCGCAGCCACCCTCCTGGCCTCCTTCGGCCTCTTCGTCGTGCTCCCGCTCTACACCCCGCTGGGGATCGCCCCCGCCATCGCCGGGGCCCTGCGCAACCAGGTGGGTCTCGACGCCTCCCAGTCCGGCCTCTACCGCAACGTCTACATCTCCACCGCGGGCCTCTTCGTCCTCTCCCTCTACGTCACCGGGTGCAAGTTCATAAACCCTTCATTGGAAACAAAAGATAATTAGATAGCAAAGGTCAGCGAGCTCGACATCCCGCTGTACACGTCCGCGAACGTCGTCGCGTGGATAGGAACAGGGTTGAGATAAGCAGGGAAATTCAGGTTGTGATTCGCTGCGTTTCCACAGAAGAATTTCTGCGGCTGGTTAAAGGTGCAGTGCGTCTTGTTCAGGCCCAGCAACACGTCGATGAACACGACGAGGGAGCCTGCGATGATCGCGAAGGCGAAGATTATGGCGTTGAAGTACACGACCCACCTGTAATTGGTGGTCGTGAAGTAATTACAGAGAAGGATGGATGCCACGAATGGAAAGTTCAACAAATAAGCGAACCATGTCAAAAACTTCGTGGACTCCGCGGGGTTGAGCAGAATGATGTCGTAGACAATCTGGTTGATCCACAGCAACAGAAACACGGCAAACACCAAGATCGTATCCATGCTGTAATTGATGGTGAGATTAGGTAGGTCTGGATCTTCCTGCATTAAACCAGGATTTTCATCTGATTCCTTTCCATCATCCACCAGGATCGCCCTGGGATTGCCATCCTGATAGGCATCCGGTGCAGTCAAACCAAACTGTGTCCGCATGAATCCAAACCTCGCGTTCTGTTTTGCGGCCATGTCCATCTCCTTCTGCACCTTGTTGTGCGTACGGATGGGATTAATCCTGCGGTAGTTCAGGAGCATCAGCCCCATGATGAGCAGCACCGATCGCACAAAGGCCGCCTGGAACGACCACTCCACGGCGTTGTTCACTGCGATGGCGTAGAGACTCAGGATCAAGGTGGGAAAGAGGAAGATTTGCGAGCTCAGGATCACGTTGATCACTCTGTAGTTCTCGTATGATTCATTGCTTTGCATATTCTTCCCAGGTGGAAGAAAACTATTTGTCATCCGGATGCATGCAATAAGATTGATACCTTCGAACATGGCAACGTCCCCCTTCACTTGGTCCTTGCTGCATCTCCTCATAGTAATAATCTGCTGCACAATCGTGGCAGCGATGAGCACCAGCGCAAAGATGACGTTGTTGCGGGGGATGACCGCGTTGTCGACCTGGAAGATCGCGGAGAAGAGCACCACAATGAGGATTAAAATGTGCCAGAAGGAATAGATCCAGATCTTGAACATTCCAAAGTATTGCAACAACCAGAAAATCTTGTTTGCCTCAGTGTAACCCGAACAGTCCCAGAGGAGCAACAGCCAGCTCGCGTACATGAAGAGCACCACCATGACCATGAAGAAGGGATTCCAGGCCGCGGAGAAGGTGATGCTCACGGGGTTGTTGCGGTACAGCGCCACCTGCTTCGAGCGCTCGATGTTGCACAACCTGTGTTGCCTTTCACGTTCAGTCATAGAGAGACCAGCAGCGTATCCCGCATCCTGGCACAGGTAGTAGGTGTAGTTCCTGCGGTCCGCGAAGGTGGGTTCGTCGAAGCTCAGAGGCAGGGGAGCCATCGGCATGTACGACATCCCGCCCGGGGTGGTGGTCTGCAGCACCGAAGTCTCCCCGAAGAGGGTCACGTGCTGGCTGCCGATGGCACGGCCGTACACATTGCTGTACAGCGACTTGAAGATGGGGAAGCTGATCTTGCCCTCATTCTCACCGTAGACTTGGATGTGCCGAATGTAAGCACCGAAGAACAGTATGGAACAACAGAACGCCAGCAAGAATAGAGACATGAACAAGCCGCGCTCGGTCTGGGCCATGATGCACCGGCTGCCCTTTCCTACACATGCCCTGCCCTCGCCATTTATATGGTGGAGCGCCCGAAAAATTTCCACGGTGCTAGCTACGTAGCCTTACCCGCACAGCGCAGGAGGTCAACATTCAGGAGGTCCAGGTCCAGAAGCCCCGCGCCCATCCCCCCGAATCCACCCGTGCAAATGCCCGGCACCAGCAAACGGGACGCCACCGCCACGCTCGAGGTGACGATGAAGAGCACCACAAAGAAGGCCAGCAGGAGGCTGTCCCGCTCCGGCACGGAGAACACCACCGAGAAGCTCGTCGACGAGTGCGGGTTGTGGGTGCAGATCACGTCCACGTCGGGGAAGCGGTCCTTCACCCGGTCGTGCATCTCCCCGTTCCACTCCTCGTAGTCCGTCAGCATGCAGGTCGTCCCGCTCACCACCATGCATCTCCCCCCGTGCGCCTCCGTGTTGCACACCTCCCTGACGTGGGTGCAGATGCGGTCGATCTTGCGCGCCCCCTCCATGTTTTCTATAAAACCCTTCTAGCTCGACAACGGGGAGGGAAGAAATATGGGCAACTACAACTCCAGCCATGACCACATCAACGACAACCCAGACAACCCCATCCAGGACACTGCGGGGTGGAGAAACTCCGCGGGTGCCGTGGCTGCAACCACCGCAATAGAAAATGCAAACCACATCGCCATGGACCGCAACCTCCGCCAGCACGCGATCCGCCAGGCGGTGTATAGGGCCTTATACAAGGTGAGGTTCGAGCAGGTCACCCCACAGGAGGCTTTCTGGATCTACAAGTGGGTGAAGGCCCTGAACCTGGAATTGCAAGTCACGGAAGGCATCGCGGGCGCTTCCACTCTCTTGAGCTTATCGATCGTCATGAAACCCAACTTCGACGCCCTCTCGCGGCGCAACGAGGCGCTCAGCGTCGACTTCTGGAAGCAGTTCATCCAAACGGCCGTGAGGGATGCCAATATGATCCCGGAAAACTTCTTTCGAAATGCAAACACCATGGAGGAAAATGCAATGAACAACCTCCGGAGCTTCAAGCGGCTTATCAACATCCTCGAGCAGAACATCCACACCCTCACCCCCGTGGCGTGGAACTCGCTCTCCGACGCCCTGCAGATCACCCGGCAGGTGTTCGTCGAGCGCGGGGTGGACCTTAACGATTTCATCACGCGCAACGAGGACCAATCGACGGCAACCCCGAAATTCACCGAGAGAGAGCTGCTCACCTTCCTCTCCCGCCACCCAATCCTCCGCGAGAGCCTCTCCAAGGCCGCGGGCTCCATCCTCCAGTCCACCCTCAACCTCCGTGACGGGGCCTACTCCGGCATTCGCAAGCTCAACGCCAACGACGCTAGGATGATCGGCTACATCCTCTACCTCAAGAGCGAGGTCCGGAAGCTTGCAGACGAGATCAAGAACGTACTGACCGATGCACTCCTGAACCCGCACAAGTACGTCGAGTATTTCCTCGATGTCACCGATGCCGTGAGGGCGGACGCGTTCGACGAGTTCCTCGTATCGGACAGCAGGGCGGCGACCCGTAGAAGAGAAGCAGATAGGCCTGTCGCAGGAAGACGAGGAGGAGGAGGGGGCGGGGGAGGAGGAGGTGGTGGGGGAGGAGGAGGTGGTGGGGGAGGAGGAGGTGGTGGGGGAGGAGGAGGAGGCGGAGGAGGCGGAGGAGGAGGAGGAGGACGACGAGATGCTGCAGACGCAGCTCGAGTTGTGGGAAGAAGAGAGGCAGAGGCTAGTTCTATGCCACTGACATCCAACCTCGATGGCGCACAGGACGACCCACCCCAGCGCGTCCCCACCACCGGGGGCTCGAACCCCCGCAAGTACATACGGATCAACGGGGAGATGGTTGCACTCGATTCATTCAGGCAAGAATAAAGAGTAGTATCAGTTAAGAAATATAGGGAAGGACCGAGAAGTGCATGCAGTCCGAGCCGCTGCGCCCCACCATGGACAGGATACAGATGTCATGGACGTTCCCGCGTACCTCCGGGCGGTTGCGCTCGGTGCAGAGCCACACGGCGCGCAGGGTGTGCTCGAAGGGCGCGAGCTCGGGGTCCGCCCGGCACGCCGCCACGATGTAGCAGAGCCGCGCCACAGCCTCGCGGAGGTTACTGGCAGTGCCACCCCTTTCCATCCCTGACACGCCCATATCCGCCGCCACCCTCGCCGCGGGGAGCAGGCGCATCCCGCCCACCGCGTAGAGCGCGTAGACCGCCCCGTTCCGGAGGAAGGAGATGAACTGGGCGGAGTCACCCTTGCAGGCCTCCGCCACGCCTCCCAGCATCCCCATCGCCTTGGCGGCAGGGAGGATCTGCGCCTGGATGGGATTCCCGTCACTCCCATAATCAAATTGGAACTCTATGTCGATGCCGTCCGCCCTCCCGTAACCGCCCTCCGTCGCCGCCGCGGTGTACCCAGGGGCGTTGAGCAGGCGGATGCCGGCAGGCGCTCCCGCCGCCGCGTTCGCCGCGAGCAGGCAGTCCTGGATCTCCTCGTCGGTCATACCCAGCCGCATCAGGCCGCGCGTGTCCTCCTCCTTGATGCCGAGCTCGCGGAACACCGCGGGGGAGTTGCTCGAGCCGTGCGCGGAGAAGAGGTAGCGCTTGCTCTCGGTCCCGTCCCAATACCGCACGCCGCACGCCGCCGCGACCGCCTCGAAGGGCGAGCCCTTACGGATGGGCTGCGTGGTGATCAGCCCCATGTCCGAGATGCGCCTCCGCGCCTCCTTCCGGTCCGTGAAAGTGCAGGGGATGTCCGTGAAACTCCCTTGAAGCTCGAACATGGAGTGCGACACCGCCTTGGCCAGCGACCTGAAGCCGGTGACATAAGGGTCCCGCTTCACCACGGGCTCCAGGATGACAGAGAAGAGCCCGTGAGACACCAGCAGCGACCGCTTCATCTCTCCTCTCCCCAGCTCCGCGATGAAGCCCGGGGCCCTGTTGACGCTGCAGGAACGGAAGAGCACCGTCTCACCCCCCGCAGCGTGCAGCGTCGAAGCGCCGTGCTCCTGCAGGCTCCCGGCGATGCTCACGGCGTCCCCCTTCCGGTACCGCACCTCCACCGTATCACCCGCCGACCTCGAGGTGGCCGCGCCCTCCACGCGCAGGAAGCTCTCGGAGCCGTGCGTCCGCTTGGTCAGGAAGTCCTGCACCTCCGCATCCGAGGAGCAGCGCATGGAGGACCAGCGAGGCACGTTGCGCTCCAAAAAGTCCCGCACCGACGGGCAGCGCAGCGCGGAGGCGCCGGCGGGGGAGGCGAAGTGGAAGGCCTGCACCACGTTGGGATTGTTCACGCTGGCGTACACGCAGGACTGGATGCCGAACTTGTCACCCTCCTTACCCCCACCCTGGAACGCCAGCAGCACCCCGTCGGGCTTGACGGAGGCCTTCATCCCGCGCTTCTTCGGGTCCGCCACACCCCCCGTGCACAGACCCCCCAGGAAGTGCACATCTCTCCCCTCCAGCTTGTCCGCGCGGAGGATCTCGCGCAGGCGTGCGCGGACGTAGTCGTTGCGAAGCCAGTGCTTGCGGACCTCCGCGTTGGGTGGCATGTCGGTCCTGGCTGGCTTCGAAGCCAGTGACGATGCGGTCGAAGGCACCCTTCTTGGATCGTCCCTGCGCTGGCCCTGCATGAACCTCACCTTCCTCGTATCCCTTCTCGTAGTATCCATCCTTGTAGCATCCATTCTTGTAGTGTTCCTCCTATCACCCGCAATCGACACCATTCACCCCACACGACGGTCCCGCCCGGGATGCAAAGACCCGTCTTTTATACACACCCTCGATTCATCACAGGCATGCATCTACCAAACAAAACACGAGCAACATATATGAACCATTGCAGGGTAGAAGTACAAGGAAGACAGCATTGTCAGTAGCATGCATTGGGCCAAGCACACCTGCGCCCTGATACCAGCATTCATGGTCCTCTTCTGGATCTTCATGTTTGCCTTCTCCAGGGCCTTCATGCTCTACTCGGAGTACCAGGCAGAGATCGCCAGGCTCAACGACGACGCATGGCTCCGGGTCAAGTGCAAGGACCCGGAGTTCTTCCACAACATCAAGCAGCACACCGACCTCTGCCTCAAGGTAGAGCAGAACGCCAGGAAGTCCTGCCTCCTCGTCGCCCTCAACACCGTCGCCTCCACCACCTACCTCTGCGGCTACAGGAGCTGCGCCGACTACCTCACCGACGCCGTCCTCTGGGTGATGGGCTTCGGCCTCCCCGCCGTACTCCTCATCTCCGTATGCCTACTCCTCTTCCCCACGGTGCTCTACCCCGTCTACTCCTCGTACCTCAACCGTATGGCCGACCGCAGAGTCATGGCCCTCTACAACGCACCCTACGGGATGGAGCACTACTCCGCCTCCCACCCCAGGCTCGTCTACCCCGTCATACAGGACATGGAGGATGCGAAGAAGTTGGTGTGACAAAGTTGATATTCTCTCGTTGTACGTAGATCAATATATGTCATATTAAAAATAATGCTTTACAGGAGCTACGCCGACTGATGATTCACACTGATGTGATTCACACTGGTCAGTTGGTAGGATGACTGGAGGGGTGGTGGGTTCATCTTCTTCGCCATCAAACTTTGGCTTACCCAGGTTTTTCGTATCTTTGGAACGCGTGATAAACTTGACCTCTGTGATAACGACCTGCTTGGGCATGTAGGGTTTCTTCAGCTCCCTGGAACAGATATCCGAGAGCTTGACCTCCATGATGTTGCGGAGGTTCTTCCTGATATCCTCCTTGAGGTTCACCTGCGCATCGAGAAGAGAGAGGATCTGCAGGCACTCTTTCACCTCAGAGAGGCACGACTCCTGAGGTTCGTCTACGCTTCCCGAGGCTGAAGAATCACCAAACATCTGTTGGTGACGCACCCATGCCTGCAAGCGCTCAGTTGTCATCTTCTCAGTTCGATCCATCGTGGCGAATAGTCAGACAGACCCACATCAGGGGTTTTATACGCTTCGTTTTTTTTACTCCCTGTTTTTTTCATTTTTTATTTAAAAAAAAATTCCCGCCTTTTTTTAGGAGTCAATAAAAAGACCGCTGCGAAGTTCACCCTCCACTGCCCATGCAATCCCAGGCAGCCGTCATGGAGACGCTGATGAAGAAAGACATCCAGCTGCAGAAGATGCAGCACGCCATCGACTGGTACAACGGGTACAAGCAGCACCGCGAGAAGGTCGACCGCGTGGTGTGCGCCAACCTCTCATCCTCAGACCGGTTGAACCCTACCCTGCTCACCAAGGTCGAGAGCGAGCTTTTCTCACCCGACAAGCGTTACCAAGAGTACAAGCCACCGGAGGACCTTCTCCCGCGGCTTGCTTTCTCGGACGTCGTCTCTCTCGACACCGCGGAGCTAGCCCTCCGCATCACCAGGATCGAGGAGGAGATCGATGCATGCAAGAAGCAACCAGCCTATCGCGCCATGATGCAAGAGCTGAATGATGCCTTGAAGTAGAGTTCTAATAAAAAAAAAGAAAGTATTTGTGGCTCTAAGCTTGTCGGTATGCCAGCACATCTCACCTCCAATAACACCCCCAACCATGTCGGAAGAAGAATGCGATGTCGTGTTTGCAATCAACGAGAGTGAGGAGCAGATCGCAAGGAACATCGTCCGTCTGATCCAACACGAGAGACAGACGCAGCCTTCTCCCTCCATGGCAGAAGACACCATGGAGCAGGGACCGGGAGGGACAACTACCGGTGATTCATCGGTGTGAGAGGGGTAGGGTACTTAACGGTACTAAATTGAGTAAATTTATAATACTTATATAGCCGGTCTCCCAGGAAAGGCCCCCCCCCTTGGCCAGAATCTGGAAACCGTTAAACCGTTAAACCGTTAAACCGTTAAAACCTTCAACCACAGTCCGGCGATTCTTGTCCTTTGATCATTTTAAATAAGGTTCGCCGGACATATATATATATACATATATTACATACATAGATACATACATATACATAGTATGTATATACATACATACATATACATACATATACATACATACTATATACTATATACATACTATACGTATACTGTCCGGCGAACCTTCTTTAAAGGTTTTAAAGACCGTTAACCTTTAACGGTTTAACGGTTTAACGGTTTTCAGATTCTGGCCAGAGGGGGGGCCTTTCCCTGGGGACCCAGGTCGGGGTATGAGGGCGATGATATTTTTTTATTTTTTTTTTACTCAAACAGCGCATCGACAGATGTCGGCGACGGTGATGCGCCAGAGGTCCTCGGTGCGGCGCAGGATCTCCGTGTGGATGTCGGGGGAGACCATCTGCATGTACCAGGGGAGGTCCTGGTGGATGACGGTGATGTTGGCGGTGGGGGACGCTCCCGAGACCACGGGGGTAACGACGGAGACGGTGATAGAGGAGACAACGGGTAGGTTGGATATGACGGCGTTCTCGTTCATGACAAACCTGTCCGATGAAGTACAGTCGAGCAGGTCTTGGTCCTTGTGCTGGAAGGCCTGGATGTTGCCCACGAAGGGCTTCAGGAAGGCGGGTGGCGTGACGGGCACATGGTAGTCCACGCTGCGGCTGAAGACGACGTGGGTGTCACAGGTATTGGAGAGGTCGGAGATGGGGATGTTCCTCCACTTTCCCAGGCTGATGCCCTGCACGCCGGAGTCCCAGCGGCTGAGCCTCTTCTTGATGGCGTCGTCGCTCATGTAGAGGACGTACTGCAGGGGCTTGTTGACATTGCAGTGGCAGGACGGGAAGGCAAGCGAGGAGGTGAAGGTAGAGAGCGATGATATCGGTAAGGGCAGAAAGAGTAAGACGGTAGCCAACAGCAGGAACGCTTCGGCGGCGGCCTGATTCATGGCAGGGGTTTTCTGTTTTCTGGAAACACGCGGTCGTTTGCTCGTTTTATACCCAAGCGGGTATTAGGGGTGGGATGCGTGGGGGGGCAGGGAAATGGCGGGTCAAGACGAAGCGATGGACGCTCGGCTTCTGGAGACTTATATCCCGGCTTTCTTCATGATCATGAAGACCATTGCCGTGCTGGGCTTCATCCCCTTCGCAGGCTGGCTGGGCATGTCAAACGAGCACGTCTTCAATCTCATTGGGACGCTCCTGTTTGTGGACCGCGTGCTGTTCAACGTGGAGGTGCAGGGTGGGATCGATTCCAACATGTCCGTGGCTTGCGTCTTGCTGTGCTTCGTGATCAACACGGAGAGGGTATGGACAGCCTATGTCGACACGGCCCTGGATATTGTCCTAAATGTGACTTGGTGCCTGCTGGCGCTGTTCCTGCTGGTGAAGGATGAGCTGCCCTTGGGCCACCACTGGATGATGTCCCTGCTCCCGAGCCCGGATATAATCATCGGGGCGGGGATGTTCTATGTCCACACCCTGCTTCCGCTGTCCTCCGCCTCCGTGCTCGAGCTCTCCATACGCGCCATCGTCTTCCAGTGCCTCTCCGTCAGCTGGTTCTACACCTTCCGGATGCGGGTCAGGGACCCCCTTGACACCCCCTTCACGCTTTGTATAAGTAGGTTCTTCCCCGTGATGTTCGTGGGCCCCATCGTCGCGTGCGTCTTCGCCGGGATGGTGTGGGTGTGCATCATGGTCAAGTTCTACCGGCAGCAGGGCGAGTTCCGGGCGTATTTTGTGCAGGTGGACAGGCATCGGAAGGCCCCCACACCGGATCCCATCGAGACCCCCATCTTGTACACCCAGAGGAGGCAGAGGAACCAAGCCTCCCATTCCACTGTTTATATTCCTGGCTCTCCCATGCCTGTCCCTTACGAGAGCGCAGAGGACGCGGAGGGCGACGAGGACACCATGCTGCTCAGGGAGATGCTGCAGAGGGGCAGGGAGGGGATCGAGTCCGGGATGGTTTGAGGGGATCGAGTCCGGGATGGTTTGATGCGCTGTATTTAAATGATCTGTGTGTGCAGGGATCAACTGTGTGTCATGTTTGCCTATTGGATTTTCAAGGAGCCCTACCAGCACATCTTTCAGTGCGATGAGGCTTGTAAGGCCACAGATGATAAGATCAGGGCCGTGGACAAGAAGGAGAATGATTTTAATGAGTTGCTTGATATGATGAATAAGGGTTACATCTACTGTGCATGCGACAAGAACACGCTGTCGGAAGAAGACCGCGAGTACTACGACCACAGAAAGAGCATCATTAAGGAGTACTTCACTGCCAAGCTCGAAGCTTACCAAGCGGCCATGGCCTGCCTGAAGAAGCACATGAAGACCCTCTCCGTGACGTCAAACGCGGAGGAGCTCAAAAATTGCACCAAGCTCGAGACAGAGTTCGACAACGAGATCATCAGATACAGCATCAAGGTCATGGAGATGTAGACTCACCCTGTAGGATGTCCTGGTAGAATTAAACAGAATAAACCTCTGCGTAATAATAACCATGTGCGCACCCGCGTGTATAAGGGACGGGATCGAGTCTGGGCTGGTTTGATGCTCTGTATTTAAAGGATATTACACAACACGGGGGCATCACGTCATGTTCAAGGCAATATACAATTTCTTTTCAGGGACGACGGGCAAGCGGAAGCGCTACGAGATGGATGATGTAACGGTACCATGCAAGTGGACGAATGAACATTACAGCCCAGAAAGATGGATCTCGGAGCTGAGTGACGGTCCGTTTCTCGAGAATGCAGAAAAACAACTCACTGTCCTCCGTCTATACGAGAAAGCCACTGAAGACATGATTCAGGATATGGAAGACACTAAACGTGAGATGGGATCCTTGAGAGATGATCTTTCTCAGAATTGGCGGAATGCTACCGGTAGTCATGCACAAAGATATTTCGACATGCTTGCTAAAACCAACTCTATCATCCGTAACCACAAGTCGCTGATGACTAGGTTTGTAATTCCGTATCTCTACTGTGCCAGCAACATAGATTCGTTGAAGGAAGCCATCCATATGGTAAAGGAGAGTAGCGCGTAAGTGATGCCCGTGGTAGATAATAAACCTCTACGTAATAATAACCATGTGTGCACCCGTGTGTATAAAAGAAACCATGCGGGCGGGGGCTGCCATGTACCGAGCGGGGGAGACGAGCCATGTCGAACTTCTTCGGGAACCTGAACAACCCGCGCATGCCCGAGGTGGTGATGAACCAGGGCCCGCTGCCGCCGCTGAGCACCGACAACCTCCCGTACGGCCTGAACGGGACGGCGGATGCGAGGATCAACTACAACAATGCGCTCCTTGGGGACATCAGTCCGTACGTCTACGGGGATTCCGCCCGCATCACCACCCAGACCTCCTACCTCAACCAGAGCTACCGTATCCAGAAGATCGTGCCTGAGCTGTACCTCCCCCCCATCGGGGACGGGCACGGGCTGGTGAAGGTGTCGCACGCCGTGGATTACGGGGATATCGCCTGGTCGCTCCGGCTCAGAAACATCTCCGCCACGCTCGGGGTGTTCATGAAGTCGGCCGAGGGCGTCGGGGACAACGGGACGCACATCACCGCCTTTGTCAATTTTCCCACGGTGAACTACATCCTGGTGGGGTTCCAGAACCTGTGGTTTCGGAGGCGAGCCGTGCCTGCCGTTCCCGCCACCTCTTCGGACAAGGCTTGGCTCCGCCTGTGGTTCGACCTGTTCAACCTGACGGGGAACCCGGAGGACTTTGGTCAGTTTATGAATGGGATCACAACTGTGCAGGATATTTCGGAGAAGCTCATGAAGATCATCACCCCCTTCGGCGTGTCGGTGCAGTCCGAGAAGCAGGGTGGGATGCACGAGGTGGGCCTGAGCCCGGTGATGTGGGCGGTCAACCACCTGACGAGCATCAACATCGACGGGATGACGCGGGACATGATCAACTATTGGAGACATATAGATGTCAACTCCGGGGATAGGATCTGCTTCCGCCTCATGCCCATCGACCTGAGCGGGGACCAGCGGGCGACCCTGAACCACTTCTACAAGCATATCGTCAACCTCGAGTTCACCGTGAGCGAGGGGAGATACGAGATCCTTGTCCCCGATACCTACCCGTACTGCATCCCCGGGGATAAACTTCTAAGGGTGCCGGATGCAGCCGTGCGGCAGGAGTACAACAGGAGGAAGATGCACTGGTACATCGGCACGACACAGCAGCACTACCCCAAGATGTACGAGGAGTTCAGTGAGATGAAGAAGTTCATGGACGATACCGCGTTCTTGAAGGGCGCGCTGCTGCAGACCACCATCACGCCGATGCTGGTGAATTCTAGGATACGTCATGTTGCGGATGGGGCTATCTCCTTCTTTGGCTCCCGCCTCTCTGCGTCTGATCCCCGCAAGCGCGCGCTGGGGGTGACCTGGGCGGACGAGCGGCAGGGCGGGAAGCGCAGGTTCGCGCTGTCCGGGCCACCGCCTCCCAAGTTCAGTCTCCCGCAGCAGGCTCCCCAACAAGCTCCGCAACAGACCCCGCAACAAACCTTGCAATCCCGGAACGGCCTCGACATCGACGCCCTGCTGCGGGAGGGTGGGCTTCAGGGATCCGCTGAAGGTGCAGCCCCCGAAGAGCCCAGGAACGTAGTCCCCCAGGCCGTCGCCACCGGCTCCGCCCTCAAGCCCAAGAAGCAGGTCGCCAAGCCCGTGGGCGGGAAGGAGAAGAGGGATGGGGTAGCGGTGTCCGTGGTTTAGGCATTTATTAAATGATTTACTGGGGTGCATCGATCAGGTTGGATGACTTTAGGATGAGCTCGTAGGATTCCTTGTTGTAATCACTCTGTCTTGTGTGGTTCAGAAGCTTATTGACGGTGGGTGTAAAGGGCCATGGTGCATTGATCCCATCAGGCTTCCATTTGATCATCAGTTCGTTCCATGCCTTCTTCTTCTCCTGCAATCCCTTGCGGATCTGCTTCCGCATGTCCCGCTCCCGGAAGCTCCCATACATGTCGATGAGGTCGTAGTTGCCATCCGTGGGTGGCTTCCGGCCGATTTCGTAATTGTCTGGGTTGTAGGTGATGGCGGTGTAGGCCGCGTTGATGAGGTTGGAGCTGTAGAAATTCTGGAATTGCACGACAATGTCCTCTAAACTATTCCCAGGGAGATTCTCGATGCAGTACCACGGGAAGTACATATCGGCGGATAGGTGGTCAAAGAAAGACACAGGGGTCCACAGCTCGGTGTGCCTCAGCCGGTGGCTCACGATGGTGTACCAAGTGTCGGAGGTCCTTTGCATATAGTAGCTTGATTTTTTGTTTTTGGCCTTTGCAGTTTCGTTTGTTTTCAGCGATTTGATGACATAGGCCATGTTCAGCGTGAACTTGTGCAGGGCGCGGATGTATCGGAACACCCAGCGGTGCAGCACTCCGTCCCAGTTGGACTCTTCGATACTGACCTCTGGGGTGTTGTCGCCGAATAGCTCTGTCTTGTGATTGTTCTTCATATTCTCGATGGACTTCTTCAAGATTTCAGCGAAGACCTTGCCGCTCACAACGATGGTTGCACTCCCTGAACTGTATTTGACAACCTGCATGTTCCGCGCGACCCTGCTCCGCGTGACGTATAGCTGATTGTATGCTAACTTGGGTAGGACTTGCTTCAAGCGGTACTTCACGACGCTGTCGCGGTCGAGGTGGATGTGCAGGATACGGGTGAAGTCTTCCTTAGGGAGGGTATGAAGAATTCCTATGATGTGTACCTTCCAGGGTGTGGCGCTGCTGACCGACGTGGTGGAGGAGGGGTGGCTGTGGGCGGGGCTTGGAGATCGGGGGCGCTTGTTGGAAGCTTCAGGATCTTCATATAGAAGCCCTCCGCGATTGTGACCCCCTCTGGTATGGGGTGGGTTCCATACTTTTTCGTGGTCAATCTCTTGATCGCGGGACGGCTTGGGAGAGTTAGAAGCTTCCTCCTTTCTCACAAATCCGGGGAGTACACCCGGAGAGTGCTTTCTGACGTTGGAAGCTTTAGAATCTTCATCTGTGTTCTTCCCTCCAATCCCTCTTTGATCGTGGGCCTTTCTGACACCGGGGTCGTTATCCATCTGCGTATGGTGTCTGTTATCGGGTTCCATGTCAGGCTCTTCCGGTTCCATGTCAGGCTCACTTTCGTTGTCTTTCTCGCTTGCATTGTCTTCCATCCCATCTCCATCTGCACCAAGTTTGGCGTGCATGGGAGTGGGAGAGGAAGGGGAATATGTGGGAGAAGGAGGGGAATATGTGGGAGAAGGAGGGGAATATGTGGGAGAAGGAGGGGAATATGTGGGAGAAGGAGGGGAATATGTGGGAGAGTGAGGAGATAAATCAATAGACTGAATCCTTCCCTTCTGATACGCCAGTTCCATGTTGTACAGAGCATTCGTGTATAAACTGAGCATTGCCCTCAAATTAATAAATGAATCGACATCATTCATTTTCAGTTGACTGGCATTGATCTCTATCGTTGACATCTGTAAGAGAATGCCATTTGTTATATCCTTCAGGTATGCGTATTTTTTAAGTTCAGAATCAATATCCTTGTAAATTCGCCATGTTTCCTTCAACTGAGAAACGAGTGAATTCAGAATATTGTTGGGTGGTACGATTGCTGTCCCTAATGCTGTCTTGTATGTAAATTGGTAATCCATGGTAAATATTTCATTGAGTTTATCGATAATCTTCTTCTTGGTATCTTCCCAATGATTTTTCATCACAGTTTCCATATGATCTGTTGAGACTTGTTGCTTTTTAGCAACATCTTTGATGATGCCAAGTGAATTTTCCCGTAACGTTCCGTCCAGCCTTGGGTACTTAGTGATTCCTGACATCGGTGTCAGCTTGTCGATCACTTCCGTCAATGGGGCGTTGGTGAGGGTGACGTAGAAGTCATCCCAGGAGCGCATGGACCATGTCAGCATGGGCTTGTCGTTCTCCGCCGCGCCAGGCAGCCTGGCTATCTCCAGGTCGGCGGCTTTGTCGTCCTCACCGGCCAGGATGACCTGGATCATGTGCTCGAAGTTCGTCACGATGTTCATGAGGTTGGTGGTATCCATGTTTGTCGTTTGTACGGTCATGCGCGTGAAGGGGTTCAGGAATGTCTGGTTGTGGAGGATGAAGGAAAGTATCGCCTCCTGCTGTAGTGTTATCCTTAGTTTCTTGCGGTAGTCGTAGTAGATACCCTTGATGATCTCGACGAATGAGTTGATGACGTAGGGCATGAGGCGGACGATTTTGAGCGGATCGTCTTCCTTGATCAGCCTTCTTGTATTGATGTACAGGCTGGTTGTCAGCTTCTTCACCTTGGGGTTGAGGTGCAGGGAACATTCCTTGAATTGTTTCGCGCTGTGCTGGTAGTTGACGCTCTGGATGACGAGGATCTTAAGCACGCGCTGCATGACGACGGATATGACCATCTTGCAGCCCATGATGTACTTCACGATGGCTTGCTTGGCTGTTTCGTTCTGTTTACCCACCGCGAAATTGTACAGTTCAATCAGCGTGCTTTTGGGACTTGTGTCCCTGTACCGTGTGGTGTTGGATACTTCCGTGATTTTCGACATAAACTTTTTCCGGTTTTCAATGACGCGATCGATGCCATGTTTCTCTATATTATGCAGGTTAGTGGTGGACTGGTCCAGGGATATCTTGAGTTGAAGTAACAACCCATTCAGTCTGGACACAGCACTCCTGTATCTCATAATTTCACTGTTGTACCTCCGTCTTGGCTGCAAGTCCTTGTTTTTTCTGTTCCTTCTTCTTTTTGCGTTGTTAGTGACTGCAACAGGCATGCCAATAAACATGGCGGAGACACCCTTTTGATCGTCACACTCGTCTTCGCTGTCGCTGTCGCTCTCCCCCATCTCCGCGGCGTAGCCCCACGCATCGCCGAGGAGGATACCGTTCGGGTCTTCAATATCCCTGTGGATATCGCGGGAGAAGATGCATTCGAGCCTTGGTTTTTTGCTGGACCGGCTGGAATCCTGGTCCGTCCTTTTGTTCTTGTCCGACATCAATGGGATTGTGCGTTGAAAGGGATTTTTCTGCTGTATTGGGTTGTGTCTATGCTGTATAATTTTCTCTATGAGTTTCGTTTCCTTGTTGAGCTCCTGCTTGAGCTTTTCCCTGTCGTTCTCATTGATCTCATTTGAGCTCAATGCGCTCCAATCTTTCTTGTTCAATGCACTAACAACCTTCGTCATCAATTTTAATTTTTCCAGTACATTTCTGTGATTTTTTTGGAGTTCCTGCTTGGAAGATTGGTATGATTTTATGTTTTCCTTGATTATGTTTTCGTTGATAACCCTGTTATCCATCTGGGTGAATGTTTCAATGTTCCTGTCGATCCATTTTCCGAATTGGTACAGAACCATCAACTTCGTAAATTCATATATGGTCTGTATGGTGGATTTTATGTCGTCTATGTACCCAGGTGCCCTTACAAGTACGTTCATTATGTCGTTGTTCTGTTCTGCATTAACATTGAATTCGTGTACACTGAGCCATGTTTTGACAGTGGGTAGCTCGAGGTGGAGGTAGTCCTTTAGCTGTTCCATCTGCTTGAACGTGAAGGAATCCGGCTCGACCGTTGTCTTAATGTCATTCATCATGTATTCGTTGGGTTCCAATCGGTATTCACCATAGCCTCTCTGATATTCCAAAGGAACTTCTATCGATGATTGACCCAGCAGAGCATCGATCATACCCAGCATGTAGCGTTGGAAGACTTTCTTGGAGTTGGCGTCCTGATCGTTGTTCTTGATGCTGGGCATGAGGATGACATTGAGCGCCTTGATGGTGTTTATCCTGGCTGCTAGAATGAGGGGCAATGCCTCTTTGAAGAGTTTAACAGCCTCGCTGTTGCGTATGATCATACCGTAGTCATCGGTAGGTTTTGCATTGTTAACCTTGGTATTCCAGACATCTTTGTGTGCGTCTAGTTGCATCTGTTGTTTCATGATTCTTTTCACGTTGATTGCGTTGAGCAGGTTCGAACCGAAGCGCTTCATGTGCCCTGGCTGTACATCCGCCATGTAAGGCTTCATGTCATACAGCTCCTGTTTGATCTCCCTTATGTTGACTCGATATGGATCGATGTCGAGGGATGATGAAGTCATCGTGGCCTTCATCCACATGTTATAGACCTTGTGGGTGTATCTCTTGCAAAATCGTAGCCTTTCCACGTTGCCCGCGTAGGCTCCGTGGACTTGTTTGAGGATCTTCTTCACCCGGCGGTCGTTCCTGGATTGGATGTCAAGTTTGATATCTTTGATGTCTGTAGTGTCGGCGTACTTTTGCTTTCCCTTTATCATCGCGGCGAACATGTATTGTGGTGTTATGTTGAAATCTTCTTTGTTGTTTTTCTGGAATTCCCCTTGATTCCAGGGTTCTTTGCTCTTCATGCGTTGTATATCTCTCTGTATCTCTTTGTCTGCATTCGTGTCCAGATCTTTGATGTATTGGTTGTATGTGGATTGGTGCATGTTCAGGGCTTGTTTGAGCTCGGCTTCATCCTTTGGAATAGCGCCGATAGGATTTCCGCGGACGATGTCCTCGAGTATGCTGTAGTCTATCTTGTCATTGAATCCTTCTACAAAGACATGGTCTATCTTCGCCCATTGGAGCATATACCGGATAGACGTTATGACCTTGATGGTTGCAATATGTTCTGAGTTGTCTTCTATGAATTGTTTGAAATCGTCGCTTGCATCCATGCTCTTGTCTATCTCATCCATTTCATCTAAGGTGTTTTTCAATACATCTATCTCATGTCTGTTTTTTTCATAATCATGCCTGAGATACATCCGCTTATAATAAATGTTGTGAGAGTTTATCTGCTCTTCCGTTAAGATTTCACGTGCAATATGATGTAGATCACCCTGTGGTTTTTCCCATATAGGGAGTTTAAAATGTTTCATGACACTTTCCTTTCGTTCTTCGTCCTTGTACTCGGATTTCATCAATTTGATGAATTCGTCTCGACCATTCTTGTTGGCAAATAAGATAAGTGATACGTATCTCATGACATTGTATGTATCCTTTAGTTCATTACGTGCCGTATTGATGTTTTTTTGGTATTCATCTCGGTCGGTCACCTTCCCTTTTTCTAGATTATTGACATGGCGTAGTAGGTATGACATTCTTCTGATGACAAAATTTAGTTTTCGTGTCATACTCAGAAATTCACTGTAATATATGTTTTTGAATTTTCCTCCAAGAGGTTTGGTATAACGACGTTTCAGAGTATCACATTTTTCCATGAGTTTGTCGATTTCATGGTTGATTTGAAAGCTTTTGAGTGATGTCATCGCATCCTTGATATAATTCGGTAATATCTGGTAATCCTTGAGCCTCTTGATGAATATCGGTGTGTTATCCTTCTTTTTCTTCTCGGCCACGTCCTTCCAATTGCCGGCCGCCCCCTCCCCCGGCGCACCGATCTCGGGGCTGAATTCATGCCCACTCTCTGACATCTCCTCGTGATCGCTGCCTGGCTCATCGTCGCTGCTGTAGTCATACCTGGGTGTGACATGCATGGAGCCATCACCGAGGTCATCGTTGTAGAACTCCCTCTCGTCGTCGTAGTATGCCTCGTCCCACAGCCCGTCGTCCTGGATCCCCGCGGCGCGGAGGACGCTGGGGGGGAAGCGGAGGACGCCGTCGTCGCGGTCTGCGAGCTCGCTCCACTCGGCGAGCTGCTCGAGGGACTCGTGGAGGAGGTCCATGGTCTCCTGCTCGATCTCTTCTTTGGACGGTGTCGGCGTTTCATGGGAATGGCAGTCGTTGTTGGGAATAGAAGCCGAGTGGAACACCACCTGGACTCCATCGTAATCGATGGCTTCTTCGGGGTGAGATCCAGACGGCAGGTGGTTTACTGCGCCGTGCATCCTGCCGTACGGGCGTCGCGGTCTCTTTTATACGGGGGAACCGTGCGGATAACCGTGTATTTAAGTTCGTGTGGCGGAGGGACAGATACGCTGGTCTGGCTGGATTCCTTGAAATTCATTGCTTGCCAGATACACGGGCGGGATGTCGCTGTCGAAGTTTCAAGAACAGTCAAACTATGCTGTTGCATTCCACTTATGCAGGAACATGGCTGATGTGAGGAAGGACATGAAGAAAATTCAAGGGTTTAATTATCAGGCTCCCTATGAATTCATGAATTATCATCTCAAATATGCAATTCCCTCGGATAAGTACAAGTGTGCCATGCAGTATGGCAATTACCTGATGTTGAAATCCGCTGAGTTGCTGATGGGTTTGAAGGATAAGTTCCAGAAACCCCTCGATGGTAACAGAAAAGTAGGGATAGATGAAAAACACAACTTCATTTTTTCGGATCCTTGTACGGTCATACAAGCCATGAAGTTGCATAATGGACACTACTACGAAAACTTTTCTCTCCCCAAGGATCTCATGGAGGACCTAGAGAATCCAAGCCTGGAGCCCCCTTTCCTTGTGGTGCATAATTATGAGGTGCACTGGTTCCCTGCCTCCAAGATCACCCCGGGCAAGAATGGGATGGGGTGGTACGTCGACTCCGTCGTTCGCACCGTCGACGATCAAATGAGGCCGGTTCAGTTCTTCGCGGCATACTCCAGTGAGGAGAGGAATGAGTACAGCCGCGTCCTGTACGACAACTGCGAATTCGGGCCCTCGAACTGCAATATCGACATTCCGTTCAAGAAGTTCGAGTACAGCCAGGAGAGCCTCGACGCCATGAAGCAGTTTCCACACCCTCCGATGTTGAACGCGAACGAGTTGCCAGATTCGCCGTTGGAGGCAAGCTCGGAGGAGGAGTGGAAGCCCCCTGCGAAGGTGTCCAGGACGAGCGCGAGGAAGTAGATGCCAGGAGGGTAGGCGTCCCGTGTGTGTGTTTGGTACTAAATCACGTTTAATTTACTTCATATGTACTACTCCTCCGAGACGCTCTCCATGAGCCATGCGACCTCTGTCTTGGTTCTTTCGGCGTAGGAGAGGAAATGGTCATCCTTGTCGATGTTGTACTTGCGGATGTAGTGGAAGTACTTGTCGGAATCTCGGTCATAGTAGCCGTCGGCCACGAAAACGACCCCGTGATTGATGAACAGGGGTGCGTGCTCGTAGTGGGTCTGGCGAACATAATAGGGGTACCAATGCACCGCCTTGACCGCCATGCTGTGGAAACACTCGATCACGTCTTCAGTGGGGACGGTGATCCTGTCCACGGCCTTTGCCTTCTCGAGCGCGCCTTCGAGCTGCTTGATGGCAGAGGCGATAGTGTCCTTCTTCTCTTTGGAGGTCGTGGTGGTGAGTTTTTCCTTCAACTCGGCGAGCTTCGGGGGTGCGAAGGTCTCGAACCTCTCGTTGCAGATGGTGACGGTGCGGATAGTGACAGTATCCAATTCTTCATCCCTGACTTTGAAGGATAGCGTCACCTTGGCCGGGTGGGCTTCAAACCTCGGGCGTTTGCGTGCGCGCTCTTCAGCGTTGCTTTGCAACCTGTAGATCTCGGTGAACATGCCACGCGTGCCCTGTGCTTTTTGGTGTAGCTTTAAATAAAACATCGAGGGGGGAATAAAAAAACACAAAAAAAAACTTCCATGACGCCGAAATCCATCTCTCCGCGCTTTCGAACGTATTAAACCCGGCGATGGCGCCGCCCTCCTCGGACTGGTTACTGACGCTTTCCCGCAGATTGGGACGACCAAGGGCACCGGCGGGGATGTGCTGATCCTGGAGGAGGCGGCATACTGCGACGAAGGTTTCTTCTACGAAACCGTCGCACCCATCCTTTCCATCGGCAACACGTCGCTGCTGTGTATATCTACCTTGACATCGGAGATCAATTTCTACACCAGGCTGATAAAGATGCGGGACCCGGAGACGGGCAGGCCACTCTTCGCCGTCAGGTGCATCGAGCTCGCCTGCCAGGCATGCAAGGAAGACGGCAAGGCGCACGAGTGTGTGCACCTCCTGCATCTCGTCCCGCAGTGGCAGAGTGGCGAGAGGCACAGGAGGCTGAAGGTGATGATGCAGGATCGCCCGGATCTGATACAATCCGAGCTGGCGGGGCTGGCGTTCGACTCCCTGCAGCAGGCCTTCCGCCCCAAAGACGTGGAGATCATGTTCGAGCAGGTCGCCCCTCCCCTCTCCAACGGACAGACCGTCTTCGTCGTCGTGGACCCGGCGGCGGGAGGGCCGCAGAGCGACTACGCCGTCGTGAGCATCGTGAGGAGCAAGGGGCTTGTGACGGTAACTCTCTGTGTGTTTGCACCCTTCTTCCCCTCTAGCTGTATTGGTAGACCTCCCGCAGCTCCCGCTCGAAGTCGACGCTGAGGCGGAGCTCGTCGCGGAGGAAGCGGGGCACGACGCGGGAGCCGAGCTCGCGGAAGAGCACGGGGGCCTTGTGGGGGCAGAGGCCCTTGAGCGTGACCCCGGTGGGTTCGTGGAGGAAGGAGCGGCAGACCGCCTCTTTTAGCCCCATGTCCACGTTGAGCAAGAGGAAGAAGACGCACCTCGCGCTGTGCGGCGACCGCCTCGCGATCTCGTAGAGCCGGACCGCCTCCGTGTCCCGCAGCTCCGCGGCGATCCTCTCCACCGCCCCCTTGCAGAACTCGAGCGTGGTCCTCATGTCGTCTGTGTAGAGGATGTGGAAGAGGACGTCCCTGTTTCTGAGCTCTGACATCTACCCTTCGCAGATCGTCGGGATGGACGTGCTGTCGGGATGCAAAGGTACTTCTTTTTTTTTTAATCTTTCCTGCATTGACTCCCTTGGAAGAGCCCGACAAGCAGTTCGACCTGCTCGGGGAGCACATGGAGAGGCTGCGGGGGATGAACACCGCGCTCTACGCCTCGGAGTTCGTCGTCATGGTGGAGCGGAACCTGGGCTTCGAGGCGGAGTACCACCAGCGGCACTTCAACGGCATGCCCCATGTCCGCTTCCGCGTCGACCACAAGGCCCAGAGGTACGGCGTGCTGACGACACTCGAGATAAAGCACGCCATGTGCACCATGCTCAACACCATGCTGCGGGAGCGGAGGGTGCACCTCTGGGGCGAGTTCGTCAGCCGCGACCCCAGGGGCATGAAGCGCCGGCTCCGCGAGCAGCTCGAGATCTACTCCTACCAGTTCAAGGGCGCCGCCAGCGTCTTCAACAAGGACCAGCTCGCGCTCAGCGGGAAGGTCGGCGGGATGAAGGACGACGTCTGCATCGCCCTGCAGCTCGCCTGCTACTACAGCTCCAACCCGGAGTTCTACGTGTAGTCACTGCTGTTCACGCATATTTATGTGACTCTCTCTGGTGACAGTCCAACGTTCAAGTTACTATGGTTTCAGAAGAAATGAGTAAGAGAGAGAGCCACATCCTGTCCTTCAAGACCTGGTCTATAGGCATTCTGGATGAAAGTGACATTGATGCCGTCAAAGTTGCCATATCCTTGGATGATGTGCAGCATATCTTCCATAAGATCAACTACAGGGTACCTTATGATTGTGATCACAAAGAACTTTGTTGTATGTGGCTCAAGGTGGTCATTGATGACAATCTTGAAGCTGCCTTTAGAAATGTTTCTATTTAGGCTAAACCCGTTCTCTCTGTATTGGAATTAAATTACGATTCCTTATTAATTCAAAGCCGCATCTGCACCAACATCATCCGCATGGCAGCCTGCATCCTGTTGCACCGCACCACCCTCTCCGCGTCGTCCTCCGGAATCCCGCGGAGTGCGCCCAGGTACCGGGTGACGAGGACGTGCTTGACGAGGAGGTACTTCCCGGTCCGGATGCTGTCGGAGTTGAGGTTGGCGGCCTGTGACATGTACGCCTTCAACCCGTTGAAGTAACGCACGTTGACCTGCGCGGGGGACTGCGCGGCGGCGAGGAAGGTCATTCCCTGGATCTCGCCCAGGTGGAACTTACCGTGGAGGTAGACCGCGATGTAGGGGTTGGTGGCAATGTCCCGCAGGATTATGTATGCAAAGGCCTTCTCTTGCATGAATGTGAAAGACGATGTCTTGATCTTTGGTTGAAGTTCGAAGGGATCCTCCGAAAAGTCTTTCCTATTTCCTGCGTCCTCTTGCATCAGCAGCTTCATCATACCCGATCCCCACTCGTTGGTGCACTGCATCCTCACCCCGAGCTTGTTGTAGTAGCCGGTGGGGTAGTTGATAAAGACGCGGGTGGTTTTTGTCTGGTCTGCGGTGTGCTCGTCGTTCCACATGTAGAGCACAAAGCGCTCGATGACCCGCCAGAGGCTCAGGTACAGGTGCGTCGGGAACACGTTGCCCACTAGGGACGTCTTGAAGCGCAGCACCGCCGAGATGACGTTGTTCGTTTTTTCGAAGACCTTGTAGCTCTCGCTCATCAGCTTGTTGTCTCTCGTTTGCATGTCTTTCCAGTCCTTCTTGTCCGCGTCCACCTCGATGAGCAGCGTGATGTGCATGCCGGCGAACTCCACGAAGAGGGAGACGTCGGGGCGGGTGCTGTTGCCGTCCCTCCCGCAGATGGTGCGGTTGAAGATCATTCTTACCTGGGACCCCGGGAAGCGGGTGGCGATCTCCCTACCGCACATGCCGGCGAAGACCTCCACGACGGGGTGGTCCTGCAGGATCGCCGTCGGCACCCCGGGCATGGCGACGCAGCACATGCAGACCGCTGTACCCTTTCTGGTGTCGATGCGGAGGTCGGTGAGGCTGACGATGGAGCGCCGGCCGCAGATGGCGCAGACGAAGTGCCGCTCGTCGCACTGGGCGACCACCCAGCTCTGCAGCGACTCCATCAGCGCCACGCCGTCGATCGCGGAGGCGTCGATCTCGGCCTGGAGGGCTGCGATCTCCGCGGCATGCAACGCATGTTGGTCCTTCGGAAACATGGCTTTCGCATCTTTGTTATTCTTGAAGTTCGGTGTCCAGAAGGGGGTCTGCGTGAAGACAGAGGCGAGGTTGGCGCGCATGGCAAGCTCCTTGTTGGGATATCTTTCTGGAACGGGGTCACAGGTGATCGTCTGCATGCATCGGTTCTCTGGGATGGCCTCCTTGCCGACCCCTTGAAATACAGCCCCGCCCCGGCGCCCGGGTATTTGAACCCGGCAGGCCCCACCGGAGAGAGATTCCATACCATGCAACGCGCGAACCGGGCCGTGACCTTCCAGGAGCTCTACGCCAGGGCCAGGCTCTACATGCGCTACCACGTCATCATCTCCGTGCTGCTGCTGGGCGCCGCGACGGGGCTCTTCCTCCTCAACATCAACAGCTTCCTCCGCCAGAGCGGGGTGGTCGTGAACGGCAGCTCGCCGCCTACGAGGAGGAGCGGGGCGGATGCTCCTTACAAGGACGAGTCCGAGTCACGTTCCCTCGTGAAGAAGCTGACCCGCCGGGCGATCGCCGAAAACGCCGTCCCCGACCGCCTCCTCACGGTCGTCATCCTCACCCGGGACCGGCCCTGGAGCCTGGAGAGGCTGCTGGTCTCGCTCTCCGCGGCAAGGTACGACCAGGGGGTCAGGGTCAACCTCATCCTCAGGCAGGACCTCCCTGCCAACGGCGTGCTCTGCCAGGACACGGCCAGGATCATCCGGAGGCTCTACTGGCCCCACGGCTCCGTCGACCACGCCATCGAACAAGCGCCCAGGGGGCCCATGCGCATGTGGCTCGGCGCCTACGCCCCCTCCGGCCCCACGGACTACTTCCTCGTCCTGGAGGACGACATGGAGGTCAGCCGCTTCTACTGCCGCTGGGTGCTCGCCGCCCTCGACCGCTTCCGCCTCGACTCCACCGTCTTCGCCGTGTCCGCGTCCAAGCCCGAGCTCAGGGGCAGGGACCCGCTGGGGCTCGGCCCGGTCCAGTCCAGCATCCCCGCCGGCACCACCCACGTCAAGTACAGGATGCCCACCCCGGACGCCCTCGCCCCCGTTCCCAGGCACTGGAACGCCTTCCGCACCTGGGCGGTGAAGATGCTCGACAGCGATGGCTTCGACCCCACGCTCACGGAAGAGGTCGACGTCCGCGACCTCCGCCCCTTCGAGATCTACAGGGAGATGCGCGCCATCGGGAGGCAGGAGCTCGCCTGGACCGCCTTCCTCGTCCGCTACACCTTCGAGGTCGGCCAGTCCACCGTCTACCCCTGGACCCCCACCGGCGCCTCCCTCGCCCGCTCCTGGGACGAGCCCGACGCCCTCACCCGCCACGGCCGCGGCCCTACCTCCGACCTCCTCGCCGTCTGGGACCCGGCCCTCGTCCGCTGGAACCCCAGGGCTGGAGTCAGGCTCGACTACACGGGCAGGCCCATGTCTCCTTGACGGAGTGCGGTGTATTTAAACGCGGCGAGAAAGGAGGTGGCATCGTGGTTTTGATTATGGGACGCACCAAACAAGATCAACGGAGGGAGACCGGTCAAAGGGCTCCAGTCGCGAGGCTCTCAACTCAGAGAGCCAGAGAAGATGCACCCTTTACGGCGGGTGTAAGACAGCCAGGCAGCACTGCTACCAAGCAGCGCGGTGTTGTCGCATCGGGCGTGAATGTGCCCAATTATCTGCAGTTGATCTGTGCCCTTTCTGCTTTTCAAAGTGAGGAAGATCTAAAACAAATGCAGTACTTTGTCGACCTTTCTAAGGAAGATGAAGCTTGGTACAACAAGCTTACCTCAGAAAACAGGCAAATATTTGATGATCTCTGGGTTAGGCTCGATTCCGTGTCTGTACCTCAGACAGAACAGCAAACGACTGAAGGTGCAGCTTCTATCTTGCAGAGCATGCGCAATGACGAGAATCAAGACACGCAACAGGAGTTCCAGGAATCCGATCCAACCAATGTCGTGAGCGGCACCCTGCAACCGGACGTCACGGTGCTCCTCGAATCCCAACCCGAGAGCAATGAAATGGATTCGCAGCAAGAGCCTGTGCCGGCCCCTCCTGCCGTCGATGGAAATGGTGATCCAATCGATGAAACGGGCACTGGATCGCAGGTTCCTGGGACGTCGCCGACCGATGAGCCGACATCCGTTTCCTCTACCATCGATGAGAACAATCAAGAAATCGATGGAACGGGTACTGAATCGCAGGTTCCTGGGACGTCGCCGACCGTTGAGCCGACATCCGTTCCTGTCGTCGATATGAACGAGAACAGAGATGAAGGCTCTTCCAACGCTACCGGTTCAAGCAAACTGCTAGAGAAGGCATTTCAGCGAGAGAGCAGCTCGGATGAATCCGATGATCCCGATGCACCTGTGATCACCAACTCTCGCAAGAACGTCGGTGGCAAGCAACTCCCACAGATGCAACCACAGATGTCGAACCCACAGCCGCAACCAGCAACGTTTGTGAACCCAGCTTTGGAAGAGTATCACTTCGTTATTCCCGAGCAACCCGACAATGGTCCGGAACAAACAGGCGTTCCATCTACTGCCACTGATTCGTCTGTTTCTAAAAAACCAATCAGAACCAAGCAGACTGCCAAGAAGAGCACTGGCGGCAAAGCACCACGCAAAGGTCGCGCCAAAAAGGATTCTAGGAGGTCCACCGTACACGACGGCGGAGTCAAAAAGCCCCACCGCTTCCGCCCCGGCACCGTGGCCCTCCGCGAGATCCGCAGGTACCAGAAGAGTACGGAGCTCCTTATCAGGAAGATCCCTTTCCAGCGGCTCGTCAGGGAGGTAACGCAAGACCTGGGATTCCGGGGCATCCGATATAAAGCAGATGCCATCATGGCGTTGCAGGAGGCTTCGGAGGCCTACCTGGTTGGACTCTTTGAAGACACCAACCTCTGTGCCATCCATGCCAAGCGTGTCACGATCATGCCCAAGGACATCCAGCTGGCCCGGAGGATCCGTGGGGAGCGTACTTAGATCGTACTTAGATCGTACTTAGATTATCCCACCCCACGGGCATACCGTCCCCTTTCCGTTCGTAGTGATTAAACGTCGCTTAATATTACTTTACTGTTTCTCTACGCTACGAAGGTCACGATGGAGGTGTCGAGGAGGCCGTGGGTGTGCTGGAAGGCCATGATCCTGCCGTGGACGAGGCGGGTGATGATGTCCTCTGGCCTGACCTCGCAGGTGATGCCCTCGACGCTCCTGCCCCGCCCCGCCATGAAGGCCATGCGGACGGTGCCGGCGCGGACGCTGCGCTCCTCGGTCTCGAAGGTGAGCTCGCTGCAGACGGTCTCTTGCTCTGCCGCTTGGTGGGTGCCTTCCTGTGCCCTCTGCAAGGGAACCACGCGGGAGCGGGCGACCTGGGTGATGCTATCCCCGTCGTCGGCGTAGCAGAGGCCGAAGGAGATGCTGGCGGGGCGCAGGATGGTGAGGGCGCGGCTGATCTTCCTGCACTGGTTTCTCTGGACCGCGAACCTCTGCGGCGGGTGGATCTCCGGGTGCTCGAAGACGACGTTGAGGAAGAGGTGGATGCCGGTGGAGCACTGCGTCCAGTACGGCAACCCCGCCTCGAAGGGGTGCCGGTTGAGCGTTTCGAGGGCCTTGAGCACGCTGGAGGGGGGCATGTGGAGGATGGCTTGGAGCTGGAGGTTGGGGTAGACAAAATCCCACTGCCGCAGCAGGGCGATGTCGGTCATGAGCTCACTGACGGGGACGAGGTCGATGTCGACGTCGATGTCCTCGAAGTCTTCCTCGGCCTCCTCCCTTCGCATCTCCTTGCGCATGCGCTCGACGTGGCCCGCGACGGCCTGGCGGCAGGAGGAGGGGAGGCATTCCGCGCTCAGGGGGCTGCCGTGCCCGCTCCTGCACATGGGGCAGCGCATGCCGTGGAGCATGAAGTAAACCGCGAGGGCGACGGGATGGAATGCCTTGCCGCAGCACGGAAGCTTCACCACGCAGCACTTTCCCCCGTGGACCTCTAGTGTGTGCGACTGGGGTATGCCCTCCACCTCCGCGCTCCCCAATGGCTCCATGAGGATGGGGCAGTCGTCCGGCGGGCTCCCCAGGCAGTCTTCCCCCCCGAGCATGACGTCGATGCAGTGCTCCCCACACTCGCTCACCCATGTCTGCAGCACCCAAGTCATGGGTGCTCCCGTGCGCTTCTGATTTCGAGCCTATCGACGTCGCATCCCCCGTTTATACCATGCCCCGCGCCGACCCCGCTTGCCGTGCTTGAAATGGTTCAACGTATGCGTAGTCTGTATGTCTTAAACCTCCCACCTGTGGGCCTTGCAGACAGTGCATTCTGATCCGTAGGTCCACTAGGTGGGCGTGGTGGTGCGTTGGGTCCCGCTCTTGCTGCCCGCATGCTGTTGTCTATCATGTATTGTATGCATAAATTCAAAGCGGTGTCCCTAGCAACGCGGTCTCCTTGTCCCAGCTCGTCCCAAACTTGTCTTTCCATTGCGGGTATATCCTGTATATGTTTGTAGCGGTATTTTTCCACTATTCTCCTGATTTGTGGGTGATGTCCTAAAGCGGTACGATATGTTTCATCAAGTTCTCGATCAGTTCCATGTCGTACGTAATAATCAAGATAAAGTCTAAAGTCTTTATTAACAAGGTCCCACCAATCCGCCAAATTCATGCGATCATCCATGTTTTTTATAAATGCTTGATGACATGGATTAAATATTGGATCGTATTCATACTCATTCAAAAGATGGAAAAAAGAGCGAGCAGAACCTTCCGTAGGTGTGCGTCCTGCACACCAGCCCTGGGCCGCAGTCCTTGTCGTCGTGGCACGCGTAGAGGTGCTGCTGGTACCCCCTGTCCTTCTTGATCTTCCTGAATTTGACGTGCAGGGACTCGTCGAACTGCATGGGGCGGGCGGGGCGCAGCTGGTTCACCGGCACGAAGCCCAGTGAGCCAGCCAGGGAGACGAGGGGCAGGAGGGCGAGAAGGATAAACCAATGCCGCTGCATAATTTTGCTGCGATCGTAGCCACACCCACGTTTATACCCGTCCTCTTCCGGAACGATATAAAACGGCTGTGCTGGGATGTTGCAGGAGGGATGCGGAGTGCCTGGGACTACTGGTATGATTTTGGAGGGGGGTTCGATCCGATGATACTCGACGCGGCGGGGGCGCTTCCGCTGGCGGTGCTGGGGGCGGACGTGGCCTACGCCTACCGCTCGACCGGGGTGGCGGCGGCGGTGCTGGCTTCTATGGTGACCGGGGCGCTTCTGAGGTGGGGTGTGCCTGGTTTCGCTGCACCTGGGATGGGGCAGGTAAGTTTCCATGGACCCCTGGACGTCCTCCACGGGCTGGACCTCCTGTTGATCCCCGTGGTGGTAGCCGCCTCGGTCTCCCGCCCTCACCACTACGTCGGGTCGGTGCTTCTGCTGGTCTTCCTGGTGATGGCGCTCCGTCGGTATAACCGCCTAAAATTCCCGATAAGCTTCACGAGTATGTTTATCCTCCTTGCCTGTGCGATGGGGGCTTCGGTGCATGGATTGACGGTCACTCCTCCCGTCCAGACGCGCTGGGAGGAGCTGGGTTGGTCAGCCGTGCCTTGCCTGGCCCTCTTCGTGCTGGCTTGTACGAGGAGGTCGCCACCCCTGGAAGGTTCGAAGGTCCCAGTGCCGGCTGTGGAGATTGGGGTCTCTGTCGCTCTCTTCATCCTTGGTGGCTACCTCTGGAATACGGAGTGGGGATCCAGGGCAGAAGGGCTCGTCTATATGGCCGTGGACGTGAGGGACGGGGGCTGGGAGGCTGCGCTGCTCCGCCTTCCCACCTACCTCGCCCTGGTCGCGGTGGTGGCGCTGCAGCTGCAGCAGGGGAAAAAACACGAGTCGTTCGAGCAAGCCAAGGCGCGGCTGGAGATCGAGGTCGTCTGCATCGCCTCCGCCTCGGTGGTGGCCCTCCCACTCCTCGCGCTGTGCCCCTTTGTTGTCCTCCCCCTGATCGCACTGCTATTGCGGGGGGCTGCTTTCCTGACGGTATATAAGACAAATTTGCACGCTTTTCCAAATGTGGCGTACTACGCGCCGGTCCCAGGTGGCCCTTAGCTTTGTAGCGCTGCTTGCCCTTCATTGCTGTGGGACTCTGGAAGCGTTGCCAATCCTCTCCAATGAAACCAATAGCAGCGCCTACCCCGATCTCTCAGCAGCCCCCGTCAACGATACCGTCTTCCTGGAGACACAGGCTGCCTTCCCTGCCACTCCCACCCCGGAACCCGTCCTGGTGGACACCGTATCTAGCGAGGCGGAGGCCAAGGTCGCGCCGGTGGACACAACCTACTACTCCCTGATCCGGCTGAACATCGAGGGCGACGTCCCCGAAGGCACCACCCTGGAGGAATACCTGCAGCAGCAGGTGAAGCTCTACGTCGCGACTTACGGGGCGCAGGTCAGCAGCCTTGTCCTCGACTATGTCACCCAGATCCTGACGAACAACGTGGACCCTGGCAGCAGCCTGTCGGGCAACCACCGCAGGCTGATGGAGACGCTCGGCGGCGGCACGGAGCTGGCCCAGAACACGACGGCGGTGATCGTGGCGCTGCAGTCTCAGTCATGGACCAACATGCAGGCGGTGACAGCGGGAGTGAATGCACAGAACCTCGCCCAGACGATCAACGGGAGGAAGGTGCTGCAGGTGTCAGCGGTGTCGTCCACCATCTCGTACACGCTCCCCGGCCCGGCGGAGGCGCTCAACTTCCTGCAGCGCGTCTCCCCCAGCCTAAGCGCTCTGAGCGGCCTGCAGTACAACGCCTCCACACAGCTATGGTCTGTCAGAATGCGTTTCGTGCCCGAGCCCGGCAGCTTCTCCGCTCTCTACGTCACCAGGACCAACGGCTACAGCGCGGCCGACATGGCGAACCCGTGCGTGCAGCCGACGGCGACGCTGTGCTGCGTCTGGGACGTGATGGCGAGGTACTACACCCCGGACCTCCCGCTCTCGAATTTGAGCTGCAGCGCGGCGCTCACGGCGCAGCAGTTCTTCGACTCTCTCGGAGCTCAGAGATTTGTACACATCGACCTCCCATCCCTGGGCATTCGCTCCAGCTACGCAAGCCCCGGGGATGAGCAGGAAGGGATAGTGACGGTGGAGCTGGCCCAGGGGGCGGTGGAGCAGTACGTGAGCACGGTCCAGTCTACCTCCCTCTCGACAGGGGTCAACCGCTTCGGGATCGGTCTTCTCGTCATCCGCCCCAACCCGACCAGCAGCCCGGACGCCATCCTGGACTTCAGCGTCTTCGACGTCTTCAGCGTCAACAACTTCCTCCTCTCCGTCCGATCGACACAGGACTACACCCTTCTCAGCGGGCTGCAGGCTTCACTCCACGAGGTCAGCCATCCACTCGCTCAAGGTAGCACCGCCCGGGGCTCTATATATTACGCCAACCTCAACTTCGTCGTCCCGCAGGCCTACCGCATGGTGGACACCCCTGAGAATATCGTCGCCTACCTCGGGACGCAGCAGCTTCCCTTCTCGCAGACCAGCGCGTGGCAGTCTCCCTGTGGGGTGTATGGGGATGACCCCAACGCAAGGCTGGAGGAAAGCTGCAGGAGCCTCTCTACTCTGAACTTCTGCCACCCGATCCAGCACAACTTCCTCGGTCGGCCGGGCATCGACATCAACCTGCAGATACCCTTCAACCCAGACCTCTCCGTTCCCGGCCTTACCCTGTACGTCTCCGTCCTCGTCCAGCTTCAGGACCCCGCGGGCTTCAGCCCTCCCGTCTTTACCAACGTCGTGCTCTCCGTCCCCCTGACGGGCTTTATCAAACACTGCGTCCCGGTCGTTGCCGCCGCCGCCACGCTCCCGAACAACTACATCAACGTGGTGATGAGGACGGGGCTGGAGGAGGGAGCCGGGGTCACCGAGCAGATCAGCCGCCTAGCGCAAAGCCTGGGTATCGACAGCGCCCCCGTCGCCTCCTACTCCATCGATCTCACGGGCGGGAACGTGATCCGGAGCATCACCGACTCGCTCATCACGATCAAGCTGGAGGGCTTCGAGTCATACTTCGCGGCGAACCCTTCCCTGCAGGTCTACGTCGACCAGGTGCTGACGATCCACACCCTCGGGAACGAGACGAGGACGAAGCTCAAGGCTCTCATCGACTCCCATGCGGCGTACTACACCGTCCCCCCCTCCTCGGGTGGCTCTTACACAGAGTTGGTGCTAAGGGACGACCTACTGGACCTTTGCCAGGAGGGCGTCCCCGGGAATGGCAGCGATTGCACCTTCCGCTGGGAGGTCCGCGACCGCATCACCGTGAATCCTTTCTACGCCCACCGCGTCAAGGGAACGGATGAGGATGTTTCGTGGCTCAAGAACGTGATAGGAACATCGCAGCTCGCCTCCCAGGTGGCCATCAACGTGACGCAGTACCAGGGCCTACAGGGGGGTGCCGACCCCAGGTACAACTCCGTCGTGTGGCTCTACCCCGCCTACGCCTGGCCCGGAAGGGCTCTGTTCTATCTGACGGACTACGTCTTCGCCGCGGTGGCCTTCAGCGTCCAGGCCGTCGGGCAGCCGACCGGGAGTCGGAGGCTCCTGGCGATGCCATTCTCTCCCTCCGAAGAGGCGCAGAACAGCGAAAAGAAAGAGTACGATGAGGAAGACGGGGATTACGAGAGATGGCTGCGGGAGAAAGAGCGAGAGGAGGAAGAGGAGATGATGCGTAAGATAAAGGAGAAAGAGAAGAAATTGTGGCCTGTACACTTAAGAAATATGCGCCGCCCTCACCTGCAGGTGGTGCGGAAGGAGGAGGAGAAGGAGCGATACGAGTTAGAGACAATGTGATAAAATGCTTGTTTATTTGTTATTACAAAACTCACAATAGTTGGGCAAGCCACACGAGAAACAACAGTAGGGGATGTAGGATACAGATTGTAGCTGCTCTTTCTTTACCGGTAGGTGGATACCGGTATCATACTTCATCCTACGCGACGCGGGGGCCGTCTTGGAGGAGGGGGCCCTATACGGCGCGGGGGTCGTCTTGCGGCAAGAGGTAAATTGCTTGATGCGTGCCATGGGGCCAGGGTGAGGGCCGCCAGCCACGAACCTGAATTAAATAGACTCCCGCTCCTACCCCCTATTCCCCATTACCACCCCCTGTTGGTGCCGCGGTTAGGTAGAAAAGGGTGGGTCCAAAGTTAAAAAAACCCACGACCTAATAAAAAAAAATCTACGACCCCTTCCCGATTTTTTTTTTTATTTTCAACATTTTTTTACCACCCCTCCTTTTCACCGCCCCGACAGAAACACGGGGTGGGGGGTTTATTTCCCCCTGGCTCCTCCTTTTTAGGGTCGCGCCGGCCGGTCCTTGGCCATTTGCCACGACCACTCGATGCAATCCACGCTGCCAACCCCCCCGCCCCCCCAGGCCGCACCGTTCCCAACCCCCTTATCGCCCCAAGCCGCACTTGCAGCGCGCCGCGTCCTATGCTTCCTCCGCGGACCCGCCTACTCCCGCTCCATCCGCTCTCTCTCCTCCCGCATCAAGCGCTACGGCGTGCTCGAGCGCTGGGAGCCATCTGCGGACTTCAAGGTCATGACGAAGAAATCGCAGCGCAAGTGGCTCATCCGCGACATCCGGAGGTTTGTCACAACGGCGATCTACATGATCACGCGCAACGTCAATCGGAGCGGGACCGCCATCGCCGAGGAGGAGAATGCGCCGGCCTTCAACGTCCGCATCCTCCTCGCCTCGCTCCTCATTGTCAACCGCCCGAATAGCTGCTTCGAGGCCATCGGCGAGCTCGAGAGGAGGGTGCAAGCTTCGTCCTCTCCCATCTACGATTCCCTGTGCGCCTTGGTTGACTGTGCCCAGGGCCAGACTCTGAACTCCATGAATTGGACGGAGCACCGCGACTTCCTCCGCCGCCTGAAGACCTACCTTCAAGACTTCCAAGCGTGGAAGGTTCCCGACGAGCACAAGCTTTCCGAGCGCATCAAGCACGCCCTTCTCGCCCTGTACCGCGCGGAGTCACACCTCACTGAGGAGAGCCAGGGCTACGAGAGCATGAAGCAGGAGTTTCGGGCGCAGAAGGCCAAGCTCAGGGCCAAGATGGTGCAGATCGCGGGGACCCAAGGCCTTGCGAACGTGGACGAGCTGCTGAGGAAGGAGCGGATCTACCCCGAGGACGACGAGGAGGCTGGCGCGAGTGAGGAGGCCGGTGCGAGTGATCCGTCCGCCGCCAGCAGCCTCCCCCCCTCGACCAACGCGTCCGGTCTGTCGTCTCTCCCGGGTAGGATGACAAACGAGCAGCTGGCACACGAGCTCCTACTCGATCCGAACTTCAAGCTCGACACAGAGGGAGCCGGCTACATCGACAACGCAGTCCTCTCTAACGTGCGGGAGAGCTTCAAGATCGCCTTCTGGAACAGCCTGGTCGACGACCTAAGGATCTCACCCCCCTGCTACACACGTGTGATCAGAGTGCTGGGTGAGGTGAGGGACGGGCTCATAGATCTGGCACCAAGGTTCAGAGCTTATCTGCGGGAGAAGATCGACACCAACCACATCACGCAACTGGTCGAAATGGGATCGATTGACTGGCCATCCTGCATCGCCATACTCGACGGTGTCATCTCCTCCGCGATCGAGATCCAGGAGCCGAAGCGCAAGGAGGAGACGGTGTCGGAGTGGGCGGAGAGGAAGGCGAAGATGCAGTCCTGCGAGCCGGAGGAGCAGCCGGAGGCCTTCTGCGCCAACCTCGAGTACACACTGGCGCGCGTCAATGCCATGCGGGTCGATGCGGCCAACGCGCGCCTCCGGAACATCGCCCACGTCATCCAGAATCACGGCGTCGAGTATGAGCAAAGTCACATGTCGAAGAAGATCAGGCAGAACCCGGAGTACCTTCGGCGCACACCCGAATGGATCCTTCAGTCGATCACCAAGCTCTCCAAGGAGAATGGCATGATCATCCCCTCGCTCCTCCGCGGCGACGGCGCGACGTTCCAGACGGTCCACGCAGCGGCAATCCTCGGCCTCGTCACCGCGGATGTGCCCATCACGGATGAAAACTGCCCGGAGTTGCTCCTCCTCGACGTCGCCCGCCTGAAGAGGCTGCAGAGGTCTTTCCGATTCGACCTCTTCGGCTGCGGCTGCCTGCGGATGGCCTCCCAGAAGATTCTCTCCAAGGACAGGGGCACGTCCGCCATGGGACTCATCCGGCATCTCGTCACGGCTCTCAATGCGTTCGACGCCTCCGAGATGGACACTGAAGGTGCAAAGAAGGTGTTCAAGGACTCGTTCAAGTCAGAGCTCTCCGACGAGGAGAAGGGGATCATCACCGCTACCTTCTACCCCTACAGCGAAGTGGCGCTCGGCCAACTCCTCGAAGTTCCCGCCCCCACCACCGCTGCCCTCTTCCCGTTCGTCGAGGAGCACTGGTACAACGTCGCCGTGAAGGTCTCCGAGAGTCGACCTGCCTATCTCAACACCTGGTCCCTGAATGAGCGCATCACCCGCAACGCCAAGGCCCTGCGCAAGATCATCGATGTGAACCGCAAGGTCCACACCGCGCTCTACAACAGGATCATCGCGGAGCAGGCGGCTAGGGTTTAGGGTTTGACATTAAATGATGCATTCAATAACTCACTGCTGCGCACGCCTGCTTCAGCACCGCACACGCCCTCCCCCTCCACTTCCCGCCCTTGGCGCGCTCGAAGCGCTCGGCGGCGCGGTGGTCGAGCTCGTCCCACACCCGCGGGGGAGGCACTGCGACGAAGTTCTCGCAGAGGTCCTCCCGGAACTCGCGCGCATCGGTCAGGTCCAGGACGCGGACCATCGCCGCTGTCTGCCGCATTTTCGTGCGTGGGCCCGTTTATACTGCCCTGTGAATATAAAAACTAAAGGGAATGAGCAACAAGAAATGGCAGATACTATGCAAGACGATGATAATTTTCAAGGGAGTCTTGATGCTTTTGAAAAGTACATGAAAGAACTTGGAAACAATATCACTGCAGAAAATCAAGCAAAGGCTAGGCAAAATTTTCATGATATCTTGAGTCAAATCCTGATTTTTTTCCGGTATACGTGTATAGATGGAAAGGACAAGAACGAAGATCGCCTTAATGTATTGAAATCTATACAGGATCGAGTATCAAAAATTTCGTTGAAATATGGTAAATTGCTTTTGATAGGCGAATACATGGCTTCACCGCTTGATAAATCACTAGCAAACATAATTAGGTTTATACCCGCAGATTACCATTTTGCAGCAAACCAGATCAATACCACAATTAAGCACAGCAAAAGGTTAATGATAACCCAGTGCAAAGTGACCAATGAAGGAGGTGGAACCATCGAAATCAAACTAGACCTTATATTGGAACATTACAAAGATTGGTTTCAAGATCAACTCGAGTTGATCAAGCAAGATTATAACTTCATCTCTCAACACCAGGATGCCTTTAAAGAATTGGACGTATTCATGATGCAGGAAATACTTTTGAAACAGCGAGGGCTTGAACAGGTGCACCGCTATATTGCCTATAACCTGAATTCGCATATCGATCGTATGTATTCCGGTATTCGCAATATTTTACCAGAAGGTAGTTACTACTTCAAATTCAATATGCAAACTTCACTGATATCACCTCCACAAAACTTCGTCTTGTTCGGGCCAGAAGTAACACTCAATACGCTAAGAGCCTTTCAAATTGAAATACACCTAAAGAAGTTACCATATGACACGTTCTACAGTATGCTTAAAGATCACTTCTTGATGACCGCGGACGACTTGTCATTTTTTCGCAAAAAGATCGACAGGTACATGAAGATCAAATAAAACCAACTTTCACTCGATATACCGCTTCACGTTCGTGGTATTTAAGAATCGAACCCGGAATCCACACACCTGACTTGTCATTATGGGTTGCGCAGTCAATCAGTTGAAAAAGGTGGAGAACGTCAACTTACCCAAGAAGAGGCGAGTAATGAAAAACTCGACCCTACGCAGACACAGGTACCGGCCAGATGCTTCGGTTTCCCGCCGCCTGAGGGTGGAACTTGACCAAAGGGTCGAGCGCGATCGGGCACGGTGCGCAGCCATACGCGCCTGGTTACAGCGCAAGGAAGTACGCAGCTGGCTAGAGCAAATAACCAAGCCCGCCCAGTCAGAGCGCATGGCCAGACACAGCTGGTCATTCTACATTCGCCGTGCCATCCAATCCATCCTCCGTAAATTAGGGTGGTAATTAGGTGTCGTACCCCACCAATGTTGCAATAAATGGCGACCTTTAATCTACACCCGCATCACTCGATGTACCGCTTCACCACCGGCCACAGCCTCCTCCACCCGATCTCGATGTCCTCGACGCACTTACCCCCCGTGATGACGACCTTGCCGCTCTCGAAGCAGAGGAGGACGACGGGGGAGTTGTCCGGGCGGAAGATGAGGCCCGGGAAGAGGGACTTCTGGAAGGTGCACTTGGAGCACTGCTCGTTGTACATTCTTTCCAGATTCAAGGTGCGATTTCCCTGGAGGTCGATGATGGCGTTGCCGACGATGTTCTGGACGACGATGTCCTCGACGTGGAAGTCCACCCCGATGATGTAGGCGCGGAGCATCTCGACGATCTTGAGCGAGGCGTGCAGGCACTTGTACCAGCTCTGGGAGCCGGTCAGGACCAGCTTCCCGGAGCTGAAGAGCAGCACCGTGCAGGTGGGGTTGTCGATGCGGATCGTGATGGCGGCGAACTTGTGCTTGTCGTAGAAGCTGTTGGGCAGCACGGAGGCGATGTAGTTCAGGTTGAGCGGCACCACGCTCGACCGGATCTTGGTCGTGCTGACGATGTTGTGGATGAAGGCCGGGGGCGCGTCGCTCTCACCCTCGCCCGGGAGGAAGGAGAGCTCGTCGATGGAGAGGGCGGAGTAGAGGCGCTTCTTCATGGCTCCCCGCTACCCTCCTCTCGCCATGCCCCCCCCTTCCCGACGTGATCCACCCAACCCAAAAAAATAACGGAAACACGCTCAAGAACGTAAGATCTTTATTGATTCTGAAACAACAATCACCGATCTCTCAACTCTCTATGCGCTCAAGGGAGGGATGCAGAGGGTCAGGTAAGGCTCCAGCAGGACTCAGAAAGCGGCAGGTCACTGAAGTCCATATTGCAAGAATTCACGAAATTTTGGTATAAGGCCATATGTCCGTAGACTTCGTGGCTCACAAATCTCGAAGCATATTGCAGTTCACCGATATTGTCAATGTGGCGACGCTGGTTGAGCTCGTTGACCAAGTGCTTACAGTTCTGGCGGATGAGTGTTTCCTTCTCGAGGAGGCGGTTATAATACGACTCGATGGTCTCGTAAGACCGATCTGTGAGGCCAGCATAAAAAGCCCTGATCTTCTCGTAGTTATTTGTCACAAAACAATCGAGAAGAGAGCCATCCAGGTAACCGTACTTTTGACGGATGTCCTGAAGTGGGAGGTTTTCTATGATATCTCTTACAATCGCAAAGCATGTGTCAACCGGGAGGGAGTTCTTGCAGATGACGTTGACATTACCGAACCGTTCGGAATCAGACATGCACATCTCCTTGCCAGTGCAGGTTACGACACCCGTAATCTTCTCGTTGTCCGTGATAATCACGGTGTAGAAAGCAGTATGATATTGCAAAAACATGATGAACAGCCAAGAAGGGTCGTTCCTTAAATACACAAAAATAAGTAAATGCCATGTAGGGTCCGGGACCGGCAGGAACGGTATAAGACTGGGAAATAGTACGGTCCGGGCAACACGGCGGACAGGGGGAACCAGTGAAGGAAATGCCAAGCCCAGAACACCGCCCCGAAGTCCGCGCCATGGCCATCGAACTCACGCCGTACCAGTCCATCATGATCCACGGCTGGTCCCGCCCCTCCTCGGTCCTGGCCTGGAAGCACGTCGTCGCAAGCGAGGCCCTGACCTGGCAGTTCCTCCGCTCGCTGGGGCTGTCCCCCGAGAAGCTCAAGACCCTGCAGCCCAGCCCGGAGGAGTGGGTCAGGCACGGCAACGTGCAGCTCCCCATGGTCACCGACATGCTCTGCTTCCCCGTCCACCCCATCCTCCACCTCCGCGCCGACATCAGCGAGCTCTGGCAGCTCAAGCTACCCTCCCACCTCCTCGAGGCCATGGGGGTGACGTACGCCCAGCTCGTCGACATTGGGATGACAAAGCAAATCATGGCGAGGTGGTCCTTCTCGCTCCACCGCTGGCGCTCGCTCGGCTTCACCGAGGACGACCTCCAGGGCTGGTCCGAGAGGGACTGCGTGCAGGTGTTCCACCTCTCGCTGCAGCAGACCCAGGCCGAGCTTAGGAAACCAATCAAGTAATTTGTAATTTTATTTCAATGAACTCAACGACACTGCGAGAAGATGAGCACATCGATGGGCTCGAAGGGCCTGCCGCCGTTCACCACCCTCCCGAAGACGCGGATGCGGTCGCCATACCCGCAGCCGTCGTAGAGGTAGGGCTTCGGGTAGATGATGTTCTGCTTGTACTCCCGGCTTCCGATCCTTCGGTCAAGGTTCTTGTAGAGCTCCGGGTAGTTGCCGTACTCCCGCATCTCGTGGTAGTCCTTCCGCTCCCCGGCCTTCTCGCCAATTCGGATCGGATCGGCGTTGTAGAAGTCGGGGTTCGCCTCGGTGATCAAGTTGACATTCGCTGGATTGGAGTTGAAGGCCCCGTTCCGCCTCCTCGTCCCGTCATCCTCGAACATGATGCTCTCGAAGTCGAAGTACCAGTGGACGACGTCGCCCGTGTAGGCGTGGAAGTGGCCATTCATGACGGTGGCGAAGCCCGCGACCAGGACGGACCCGATCGTGTCCCCAAAGTTCGAAGTCGCCCACGCCTGGGTCTGCGCCACCCCCTGGAAGGTAAACTGTGGGAGGTAGAACTTGAAGTTCGGGTCTCTGGCGGCGCGGGCGATGATGTTCTCCCGGCTCTCCTCGAACTGCTCCACTGTCTGCGCGTTGTAGACCGCCCGGATGAGATTCCGGGTCTCTGGGGTGATGAAGCCAAGCGTGGTCACCACGGGAGGGTAGGCCGTCTTTTGCTTGAACATCATGTTGTTGCTGGTGTTGTAAGGGATGCTGCAGCACAGCGCGAGCTCGTGCTTGTGCATGCAGTACAGCATCTTGTCGCGGTGGACCCGCTCCCTCGTGTCCTCGGTGGCCAGCATCCGCAGCACGTCCTCGGACACATGGCACTGCAGGATGTGCTTCGGCCCCGAATGCACCTGCGTGCCCGTGATCTGCCCCACACTCGCCATATCTCCCGGGATGCTGTCCCTTCAGTCTTAAATACCTTTGATTTTGCATGGATGTAAAAAGCGATGGCCTACACGAAGGTGTTGGACAGGAAGATGTCGATGGGCTCCCAGGGCTGCCCCCCGTTCACGATCCTGCCGATCACCCTCACCTTGTCCCCGTAGGCATAGTTTCTTCGGTCCCGGATCTTTCGGAAGGGCTTGATCAGCGCCACGTTCTGCTTCCCCCGGTTCGCGTCCGCGTGCGCCCCGAACATGCGCTGCTGGTAGAAGTGCTCCCTGCCGCCGATGGGGTACCGGATGGCATGTCGATCGGCAGGGTTTCTTACAGCAGGTGGTTCGCGCCGCTTCCCGTCCGGGTCGAACTCCTCCGATTCGAAGTCGAAGTACCACTGGACCAGCTCCCCGGTGTAGCAGGGGAAGTGGCCGTTCAGCACCGTCATCATCCCGCCAATCAGGACGGAGCCCACGGGGTCGCCCGTCAGGTCGCTGGCGTAGGCGGTGCCGACGCTGACACCGACGAAGTCGAACTTGAAGGGGAAGAAGTGATCCACCCCATTCCTATTGTAGACGATCCCCTCGTCCTCGTTCTCGAAGGAGAGGTTCCGGTAATGCAGTCGGATGGCCGTCTTGTGCTCATCCAGAAGCTTGTCCCCCAGGGTGGTGATCACGGGAGGGTAGGCGTGCTTGACGAAGGTGCGCTGGAACGTCCGGTCTGCGCCCCTCACCACGTCCTCGTCCGTCATCAGCGCAACACTCAGGACGAGCTCGTCCTTCTGCATGGCGTAGCGGTACTTGTCATCGGTGAGCTGCTTCACCTGGTTCCCCAGCCGCTCAAACACCTTCCCGTTCACCTTGCAGGCGACGATGTGCTTCGCGGAGGAGTCGATGCGCGTCCCCGTGTACTGCGCGATGCTGTGCGCCATGTTTCGGGATGCAGGCATGTTCAGTGGTTTATATAGCGTTCTAAAAACAAGACAGGGACAACGCATACACCCTCACATCACTTCCATCCTATGGGCTGGATCTCGGGCGACTCCACGTTCCTGTAGTCGTTGTTCACGGCGGTGAGCCCGTAGACTCCGAGCAGCGCGGAGTTGCCCACCACCACGGTGGGGAGGACGGCCTTGCGGTAGTACTCGCTGTCTATCTCCAGGTTCCCGATGACGGTGTCGAGGGGGTGGACCTTGAAGACGTCGAGGGTGGTGTAGGACCCGTACGGGGCGCAGAAGTGGACGTGCAGCTGGAAGACGCTGGGGAGGTAGTGGAAGTAGGCCATGATGTTGTGCCGCTTCCACTCGGTGTTGGCGAGGATGTACTCGGTGCACTGCACCCTCAGGCGGCGGAGCATCGGCAGGTGGCAGCCCCGCAGGTCGCGGAGGGTCTTCAGGCCCCGGTCCTTGACCACGGCCAGCCAGTTGATGGTCTTCCCGTCGTTGAGCGCGTGGGTGTCGGGTAGGAAGACGAACTCGGGGGTGTCGAGGAGGACGTTGTCCGTCTCCCGCTCGCCCCGGATCACCTCGTACACCCACTGCTTCCGCGGCATGTTCACCTGGTTGTCAATGAAGGACTGCATCTCCTCGCTGAAGGCGTGGGAGGGCTTGCAGGTCACCACGCAGCGCTCGTAGCTGCCGCTCCCGCGCTCCTTGGGTTTGAAGGGACAGTCGGGTGTATCCACCTCGTCTTTGATCCTCATAAATTGCTCTGCCTCCATGTCAATCCAACCCCAAACTCGATCGAATGCTCCAAGGACGGTTAAATAAAGGGAGGGAGGCAGACTCTTCGTTTCGGAGCACGCGGAAAACACAGCTTGATTTATACATAGGTGAGAGGATTCCATATTGTTGTATTAAAGCATGGGTATACTATGGAATAATCAAACACTATCCATGTCAGTCACAACAGAATTCATTCAGAATTACGAAAACGAAGCTAGCAATATGTATTCAAACATGTCCTATGATGATCTTATGGCAATCAAACTTCAACTGTATAAGGACTTACTGAATCTGGCAGAGGATGGTTCAGCTCTCCAAAAATGGATCACAAAATATCGAAGGTTGCATTTTGTAGATTTAACACCAATGATAGAGGAATTAAACAACATAACAGGATTATATCCTCATATTCGAAGGAGGGCTACCAGATTGGCTGTGTACCTATATTACATCTATGAAAGGATACAATCATTGAAAAGAATACATGAATGGTTGAATCGAACGAATGATATGCAGATGAACGCATGAAAGAACGACTTGCTTTATTCGTAGCACACTACTCCGAATCTTCCTGCTTGTCCTCTACGCGATGCTTCCGCTCGTCCTCGTACTTCTGCCACTTGCTGCTCATGATGGTGATCTGCGCCTTGGAGACGTTGAGGCGCTCCTGCAGGGCGTCCTGCCTCTGCTGCAGCACCTCGTCGGTGAGCCTGGAGAAGGGGCGGCGCGGCTTTGACGGCTTGGCGGTCGCGGCGCGCTTGGTCACCCCCTTGCTCTCGGACTTCTTGGCGCGGCCCTTGCTCGACTTCTTGGCCTTCACCTCGACGTCCTGCATCTCAGAGTCCATCGCCTGCTCTACGTGCTCGAGGATTTCGTCTTCGGTCATGACAACTCTCGTCCAGACCCGGGGAGTAGCTCCTGAAGTGCGCCCAGCTATACGCCGGGAGCTACTTTTTTTTCTCCCTCCCCAAAAAACGGGACACAGGACCAAGGGGGAGGGATAGGAACCCTTTCCTAGGAAATGGACGACCACTTCATTTACCCATCCCAAGCGACCTACCCCCACGGCGCGACGATGTGCACCCCGGCCTGCTACCTCCTCGCCTGCGGCATGCTGGGGGACTACGGCGTCCGCATCCCGCCCACCCGCGCGCAGATGGACGTCATCATGACGGTCGCCAGCCGGACGCAGAAGATCCTCATCGAGGGCAGCAACCAGCAGGAACGGCTCTTCTCCGTCTACCACGTGCTGGAGGCCATCGAGTCCCCAACGGGAGTGGGAGCGACCGAGGTGATGGGGACCGTCGACGCGCTGCCCGAGGGCTTCATCCAGAGCTTCGAGGACGATGGCGACCGCGGCTGTATCATCCGCGACCTCGGCACCGCCGTCCGATCTTTGCGGCCCAACCAGGCCCTCCTCATCACCGCCCATCACCACACGACGGCGCTGCTCAGGCCTGCCGGGGAGGACAGTGCCTTGTGGCACTTCGACCCGATGGTCGCCAGGCTCCTTCGCCTCCGAAACCCGGAGGAGGCGCTGCAGCTCATAACCACGACCATCCCTTCCAAGGAATACGCGGGGCTACTAGTTTACCAAAAAGGAGACCAAACAAGTAAAGATTTATAAGAACGGCCTCGGCATCAGCCCTATAGTGTTGCCCTCCACCCTCCAGCGGTTGCCGAGCTCCACGGCGATGGACCTTCCCTGGAACGCCTCCGTGACGCAGGGCGCGGAGAAGGAGAACTTCATGTTCAGCTCCGCGCCCACGGTCGACACCTCCAGCCCGCTCGGGTCGTAGTTCTTGGCCATCGAGCCCTGCACGCAGCGGATGTAGGGCCTGCGGCGGGACATGGCCAGGCCGACCCACGCCTCCGCCTCCCCGACCTCCGCCGCCGTCATCTCCCGCCGCAGCTCGTCGTTGAGCTGCTGCAGGTGCACCTCCGACTTGAGGTAGGCGCCGTTGTGCTTGCCCGTCAGCCTCCGCGCTTCGTCCGAGAGCGGCTCGGGGCGCATCCGCAGCACCTCCCGCAGGACCTGGTTCTCCAGGTGCTTGGCGCTCACCTGCTTGGCATGGCGGAGGAGGTTGGCCGCCTGCGCGCAGACCAGGTCGTAGCGGTTGCTGCCCTTCCTCGTGTCGATCTGGTTCAACTCCGCGGTGTGGACGTGGGTCGACCAGCCCGCCGGCACCTCCCCTCCCGCCATTTTCACCACCGTGCAGCACAGGGCGTCGTTGGAGGACGGGCCAACGGGGAGGAGGACCGAGTCGAGCGTGTAGGTCTCCGCGCCCCTCCGCGCCGTGATGCAGTGGCGGACGATGTCCAGGCCGACCCTCTCCATGAGCCCGGACACTGCCCTGCACGCCCGCGCCTGCGCCGCCCACTCCAGCTCGTGCGAGCCGTTGCCGCGCACCATGCTCCTCGCGCAGACCAGGCAGGGGCCAATCTTGGACTGGACCTCCCACGGGCCGAAGCGGTCCCCGGCCCTCGCCACCTCCGCAAAGATCAGCGCGCCCATGAGGTTGTGGGGCACGGGCTCTTCCCTCCCTTCTGTCTTCTGGATCTCCTCCCCCTCCGAAACCCCGCGCAGGTGCCGCTGCATGGCGCTCCTCACTTCTTCGTGCTCTCCGAACAGGCTGCTCCCGGGCGCCAGAAGGCGGGAGAGCATCGCTCCGCTCGAGGCAAAGTCGTCCCGGCCCGGCACCCCAACGGGGAGCTTCATCATCGCGGAGCCCAGCACCCTCCCGCATCCGTCCGCCCCGCTCAGCGTCAGCGTGCTCCGGACCAGAGTATGGCAGTCATCCGCCCCAAGAATCCGTGTCCGCGGCTGCATTCCTCCCTCCGCAATCTCGTTCAAGGTCGTCACGATGGCCTCGCTCTCGAAGCGGTGGAGGTTATCCAGCTCGCCCACGTGCTTGTGGCGCTCTACCTGCTTCGAAGACTGCCTGTACGACATCCGGTCCACAGCAACCATGCGGCCCGGCTCCCACGTCCGTCCTAAATATGCTCAGCCTGCCACAGAAGTTCGCCCCACCGCGCGGAGGCGCTCGTACGAGGATGGCAGGGGGGGGCGGCACAGGAGAAGGCAGAGGAGGAAAATAGCGGCCCCTGCGAGGAGGATGACGACAACAAATCCTCCTCTGAATTTCCCCTTCACGGGCTCCACCCGCACCGTCATCTCCCGCACGTAGATGTCCATCCCCCACAGCCCGCGCACCTCCGTGCTGTTCACCATCGCCACCCCGGACTGGAAGATCGAGTTCACCACGTCCCCCAGCGTCAGCCCCTGCGAGTCGAGGTAGACGACCACCTCCAGCGCCAGCGCGTTGATCGGCGGGGGCGCGGAGAGCTGCCTTCTCGGGATCGCCGAACCCCCTCCAACCGAGATGGACACCCTCCCCGACCTTCTTGCGACGGGGTAGACACCGACGTCCACCGTTGACTCCTGGTCAAAGACCCCCATGCCCTGCAGCCAGTCTGGGAAGGCGTACGGCTCGGACCGCCCGTCCCGCAGGAACACCGTCTGCAGGCCGTCTATGGCAGTCCCGGGAAATTTCCTCTCATACAGCGACCGCAGCGTCTGCATATAGACGCGCCACTCCCGGGCATACTTGGTGTCGCGCAGCTCCGCCACCGCCCGCACCCCCACCGCCCGGCCCGCGATCCCCGCCGCCTCCCGCGCGAGCCCCGCGCTCAGGTTGGCCGCCAGAGAGTCCAGCCAACGCGGCACAGAGGGTGCGGAGTCCATCGTCAGGTTCTGCGGCACGACCGCCTGCCCCAGCTCCAGCGATAGCTCCGTCGTGTTCATCAGCAGCCACAGGCTGTACCCCACCGCGATGCCGTCCGGAGGCGGGACCGCGCACACCGCCCCGGGCACCGAGCCGTACCCCTCCTTCCGCTCCATCTCCAGCGCGTGCAGCGGGTAGCTGTAGTAGCCGACGTCGCAGAACCACTCGCACACCCGTTCCCCGGAATCCGGGGACCTGTACCTGGCCAGCCAGAACGAGTGCTCGGGCTTGGGCTGCTGCAGGTCCACGCACTCCCTCACGTCCTGGTAGGACCGCTGGTACAGGTCGTCGATGTCCCGGAGCAGCACCGCCTGGTACGGGACCCACGCCAGGTTCAGCAGCCCCTCCCCGCCGCCCCCCTGGAACACCGCCGCGAACCTCAGATCAATCACATACTTGTTGTTCTCGTCCAGGTACTCCCTGCCGTACCTCTGCGCCTCTTCATGCGGGATGTGAAGCACCCCTGTCTGGAAATCAAAGGCAATGTGCGAAGACGGCCGGATACCCCCGTAGGAGGACAGGGAAGAGCCCACCAGTGCAGCCGCCCACTCTCCAACGTGCCCCTCGCAGTCTCCAATTCCGGACAGCGCAGAATACAGCGCGTCGTTGAAGTACACGGTGGAATTCAGGAAGTCGCCGTAACAGCAATACCCCCTGGTCACCCCGCACCATGGCGCCACCTCACTAAAGAAATTCAGGCTCGGCCCCGTCGGCGAGCGCTGGTCAAGGAGGAAAGGCACATACGGAGTGGCACCAGAGCCGCTCTCGAACGTCAAGTGGATCGACCAGACCCTGCTCGTATAATTGTACTGTACACTCGCGGCCGAGTGCAGCGTCGCCGTGCTCATCACGTTGACGCCCCCCAGCGTGGGCATGAAGCCCTGCGGACGGACCCCCACGGGCAGCTGCCAGAGGGCCAACACACAAGATAGCCACCCCACACGATTCATCCTCTCTAAGAAACACCCCAAACAACCCCTTTATACGAGGCCAAAACACACAAATATTATAATCTACGTGATTTACTCACTTACAAGAACAGGGACTACCATCGATCCTACTTTTTATGGTTCATTATCGCGTCGATTTGCTGAATCCTCACCGGAAACGTCCTGATTTTCCGATGCATCACATACTTGCGATGCATGGGAGGCACCAGAACCATCGCCACAGCTGCGAAGACGCTGTACGGAAGCATGGGGTCGTAGAACGCACGGGGAAGATACCATTCAGAGCCCGTGTCTTCTTCGATGCGCAATGTTTGGTTGTACCAGAAGGTGTGGTTTGCAGGGCAAACTCCCTGGGTGAATTTCCAGGAATAGTACTGAACCAGGGGGTAATTCTTTGGCATCACGTACCTGGAAGACCTGGCACTGTACAGCAAGGTGTGGTTTTCCGGGCAGACCCCCTCAGAAGGCGTGGAAGGCTGCGCGTAGCGGTCTTGCTTCGGTATGGGGTTGCCACCAGGCTCGAAGAAGCCCGGGATGTACATGCTCAGCGCGGAGTAGACGAGCATGGCCTTCGAGCCACCGAGTCCAGCGCCGAGGACCTTGACGATGGACTTCATAAATTTCACCTTCCACTCCAAGGTCCACGGCTGGGTCAACCCGGTGTAGCCCGGGATGAACATCGCCAGAACGGACAGCAAGAGCATCACCCTCGCGGGGGTGACGCGGGGCATGGAGCCCTTGAGATCGGGCCAAGAAGGCTTCTGCACGGCTTCTGGCTCCGGCACATTTGCCGGTGGAACATCGTTTTCCTGCTCTGAAGCACGTTCCAAGGCAGACAACAGGTTCCGACGCACGGAAGATACACCGGAAGACGCAGGCAAAATTTGGGGTGGCCTGTATTCCTCTGTGGGTGGTCCAGAAAGAGGGTTTCCTGCAGAGCCGCTTGCATCATTCAAGGATTCAGGCGTTCTACTGGACCTCAACCTCACCGTGTTGTTTTTAGGTTGTTTTTCTCTCTCTTCCACTGCACGCAAGAGTTCTTGCGTTTTCATATCCCATTCATCATTAGTCATGCGCCTTTTCGTTTTTTTACCCATTCTGTCCCCATCGTTGATTCTTTTGCGTTTAGGCATAACAGATGATGACATATCAAACCAGGCCAACCCCACGTCGCTTAAATACACACCGCACCGACCCATTCAAACCAGCCCCGCCTCTTCCAGGCGGATCTTGTAGGCGTGTATACAAACGTTGAGCCAGTAGGGACGGCGGGCAAGGTCTTCTAAGCCAACATCCAGGTGCTTCCTAAACTCATCTGGAGCTCCAGAGGCCCAGTCGGGGCTGTCCATCTTGGTCAGCCGGCACAGCGCGAGGAAGTGGTCGGCGGCGGCGGTGTTGACGGGGTGGGAAGGGTGGATGTCGGCCATGGGGGCAAAGCGCAGGTCGATCTCCTCGTGCATCGCGTACACCTTGGCAAGGTCGCGGAGATACCGGCACATCTCCTGGTACACCCGCTCCTTGGAGGCATCCGTCCACTCCCAGGGCGGGAGCTCGGGGGAGCAACCCGTGTCGATGTCCTTCAGCGCAGCCCTGAGCCTTCGTAGTAGGTCCAGTTTCTTCCTCTTCATGGCATCCCTCTCCTCGTCGCTGAACGCCGCCGAGCTGTAGATCGACTGGCGGATCATCTCAAACAGCAGATCGAAGCCGTTCGTCACGCGATCCTCCCCGCTCTCCTCGTGCAGCGTCAGGACTGGCAGCGGCGCGCACTCCTGGCTAGCGATGAAGAAGCTGATGAACTCCTCCAGGCTGTTCCACGACATACCTGGGAGAAAATCAGCAACCCGCCGCCCACCTTGCCCGTTCCTATCTTTTTTTCCAAATCATATTTAAATCGGACAACACAGCATCAGACACCGAAAACGACAATGTTCACTTACAACATTCCTATTGGAGGGTATACCTGGGGAGGTTATGGCAAGCGTAAGAGAACCGAAGTCCCGCTCACACCCAAGATGAACGACAAAGGCGAATTGCACTTTCGCTACGAGTGGAAATCTGAGCACTTCAAGATGAATTACGAAGACCGCATCCCGTGCAACATAAGGGTCAAATTCTTTGACAATCACATTCACATTCTCGAGGTCCAGCTTGCCCAACACACCCGCCTTGCCAACGCTACAGGCAATCATTTATTTGCCAACGATACCAGCAAACGGATGCAACAAGAGATCAAACGCTTTGAGGATGACAGCAAGAATGAGAAATTCTTTTACTAGACAGCGTCATATTCGACTCTTTGGTAGACCTACCCTTTCTAAATCTTAGAATAAAAGGCCCTTAATCGTTATCCTCGGCATCCCTTCCTCGATTCGTACTCCGGCGCATCAGCCTGGCCCAGGCGTAGAACCTGGCGAGGCCCTTCTTCAGCACCGGCTGCTTCTCGATGTCGTAGGTATCGGACAGGTCGGTGACGCGCACGACGGCCTCTCTATAGGTCGCCTGGAGCACTTCCGACAGATTCCCGATGGGGTAGGACAGGAAGCAGCCCCCCGAGGCCCTCACTTTGGCGGAGAGAGGGCCGCGGAGCATCTGCTGCATCTGGCCGCAGTTCTGGTCGACGTGGTAGCCGCTCACGAAGCAATCATGGCTGATGCAGGCGTACATCACCGCACCCTTGAGCCAAGCCGCGTCGGCGACGCAACTCCTCCTCGCCTGCATGTTCTCGAACTGCGAGATGCGGGATAGCGACGAGAACAGCGGGCCCAACAGCCTCACCCTTCCCTCCCGCACCTCCCGCACAAGGCCATCCAATCTCTCCTTGACATCCAGTGTATGGGGGATGTGGCGCACGCTTCGGAGGACGGAGACGATGGGACCCTTCTCCCCCAGCCACTCCCGATGCCTCCCCTGCGTGTCCCGCAGGAAGTAGCCCAAGTTATCCACTAGCAAGGCGATATCCTCCCGCGATTTCCAGACGACATCAGGGGCTTCGTCCACCCGCCTATGCAACAGGTCCCCGTCCACCCACTCACAGCCGAACGGAAGCTGCAGGAATCCCTCCCTGTCACGGCGGAAGCGCGGGTTGCTGCCCCCACCCCGCTCCGTCGCAAACAGCGAGGCGCGGGAGATGTTCTCGACGATCGCCCACCGCGCCTGACTCTTTGCCAGCCTTGCGCAGGCGAAGTAGACATGCCACCCTCCCCCGGTGAAGCACACCAGCACGTGGCGCTCGGTCGCCTCCGCGGGCATGAAGCGCCGCAGCACCGCGTTCGCGAGGAGGCAGGTCATGAACGCCTGCTGCTTCCAGAAGGGCTCCACGCTCATCGCCGAGTCGATATCCAGGCTCAGCACGCGGAAGGCGGGCGCGAAGCCGTGGGTCATGATCCGCTCCCGGTGGATGGGATGGTTGTACTCACAGCCGAAGTGGAAGCTCCTGAGAGGGTCGAGGTACTTCCGGACGAAGGCCCTCAAATCCGCCACTTCCACCTTCCGTATCTTCGACCTGTCTGTCTCCAGCATCACGTCCGCGCAGGTGACATTGCCCCGGAAGAACGTCTGCTGCACCACCGCGAAGAAGGGTGTCGAGAGCAGGCAGCGGTACAGCACACGGAGGCCGTGCTCGACGGGGTCCACTGGGATAGAGGCGCTAGAAATGACTGAAAGCTTTTCGGTGGGTATGATGAAGGCCTTCTCCTCCTCGGGATACTCCTGGAGGGGCTCTGTGGGAAGGTCAAGCGGATGGAGTGCATTCATCCTTTGGCAGGATCGTGCAGATGCAGGGAGATGGCTACATGGAGGCAATTAAAAAGACAGACCAGGGGAGTTTTTTTTTCGATAAGACTTTTTTATTTTTTTTTTCGATGTCATTTTTTTCGACGGGGAGTTTTTTTTTCTAGATGGGTCAATAAAAAGCCGACGAGCCCGGAACCACCCCAGAAAACCATGGCCACGAGCTGTATCGATCTGTGGAATCATGATATGAACGTCTTGAACCACTACACTGATATTCTGAACAAGAATAACGAATTGGAAGATCCCTACGCGAGGGAGGCACTGAGAATCGAGAAGAAGATTGCCAGGAACAACATCCCCATCCCGCTCTACCGCATGCTGGTAAACGCGATCAACAACTTTCCAATGCTGAAGTACCACGTGAGGGCGAGCATCGAGAAGCTAGAGAAGATCCACGACTGTCTTTACCACATCAAGTATGAAGGAACCGAAAGGGACTGCATGAGGCGATCCGCCGAGATGATCCTGGAGCTCTACGCCAAGCTAGGTTGGGAGGATCTTCAGGCTCAGGCGTATTTATCCGAATATAAAAAAAGGCTCTGAATCATGGACCGCCCCATGGCTTTCCTTGCATACACCCAGTGCTACACCACCTTGCACGTCCACGGCAAGGGTCCAAGCTTCAAAGGGGTGCCAACCCCGGGGGCGCTGAACCTCTACATCAACGAGGCGGCGGACCACATCACGAACCCCCAGGTGGTTGCCTCCACGGACTCAGAGACCTGGGTCCAGCTCAATCGTGATCGCCTGGCCTCCGCCCAGTGGATCCTGACGCCGCGCCACCCCTACATCGGCGGCAACGAGCAAAGCATCATCGACTTCAGGGACATCGCCCCGCTCCGCCACAGGGCCAACGTCGCCTGCTACAAGATCGTGGGGAAATACGCCAGGACCATCACCAGCGCCCTCCGCCACATCCTCACCCAGAACTCCCAGATCAAGACTGTCGTGCTCGAGGGCGTCGGTATGGCTCCCGGGTACCATCACAGGTTCAAAAGCAAGAATCCCAGAGACGTGTTCCCCAGGGAAGCAGCCAGACGAGTCCGCGAGGAGGTGGAGGGAGAACTGTTGAGGTACGACGTCAACTACGAGTTCCGGTGAGAACAAGAAATGGTGATTTATTATAATTCCGAACCAATCTAGGAAGTCTATACTGCGATTACCTAATAAGGCAAGACGAGCTGCTCCTGGACAACCACGACGTCTTCAACGGGGCGTCCCTCGCAGAGTGCCTGGAACGCGTTGTACTCGGCGCTTGCACAATAACTCCTGTACATGAGAACCTTCGGATCCTCCGTGTGCCAGCGAAGGGTGTTGGCCTTGTTGCGCTGGAACGCAATGTAATCTTCGAGGTAGGCTTGGTACAAGCCATTGTCCTTCATCATCTTTTGCTTAAGATGCTGCAGATGGGACTCTCTCTCTTTCTGAGTGAGCTTTCCGTTGAAAGTGATTTTTGCAGCAGACTTACCGTAGTACAAAGCCATGAGTTCGTACTCGAAGTCGGCGACAGATTGGTTTTCCTTGACGTAGTCAATAATCTTGAAAAACATGGTTGAATGATGTTGACCGTATTCAGTTTAAATACAAGACCATCAAGCAGATTTTTTGATTAAGTGAAAGGTCTACTGCTGCAATAAAGTTCGATATTAATATCTGGTACGAAATATTTAAGCGGCATGCCACCCCCATCATCACCTCTCCGATGCTCATCATCATTGAATCCAAGGAACCCATCGTGCTCAAGCATACCGTCTCCCGTCCCGTCGACATCCCGGGCGGGATCAAACTGGAACACACCACTTCCAGTCCCATCACTATCCCAAGTGCCTACAACACCGAGAACATCCGCAACGAGTTCCACACGGCACTCGAAGGCTTCCAACGCACCGAACCCACTAACCCGATGCACCAATATTATGAAAATCACATGAACCATGCATTGTTTCTCCATCACGAAAGACTGAGAGAGGAAGAGACAATGTTCGCTTGGCATGTATTGACTCACTAAAGTACCTTCAGTAAAAAAAAACAAAAAAAAACAGCGGCCTATAATCGCGTGCGGCGCTTCCCCGCGCACCTCTCTCCCCAGAGATGCCCGTCACAAGCCGTCCCTCCTTCCACAACAGCAGCCCGACGCTGCTGAAGTGCTACTGCCTGGCCTTCTACTACATTCCCACCCTGGTCGAGGTGGGGGGCTTCCACTTCGACAAGAGCCCCGCCCAGAGCTACCGCCTCACGGTAGCGCAGGCCTTCCTCTTCCCGGCCGTCACGCTCTTCCACCTGGTGGCGTGCTTCCTGCCCAGCCTGGTCTACACCTCGGGGGCCGACGGGAAGACACTGGAGTACGTCATGCACTTCCTGGAGGCGTGGGTGGTGTACACCGCGCTGCTCGTCCGCCTGGTCACCCTGGAGCCCAGCCTGGTGGTGCTGCTCGGCTGCTTCTGCAACATCCACGTGCTCTACACCATGGCGACCACGCTGGATGGCATCGGCAGGAGGGTCATCGTCGGTGGGAGCATCGCGCGCACGGCCACGGAGCTGCTCATCCTGGTCCTCCCGGTCGCGCTATCCTTCCTCGGAGGGCACGTCAGGACGCACCCCAAGGACCTCGTCCTCGTCGTCTTCACCCCGGAGCTTTACGGGATCGTCGTCGACGTCTTCAACTCCGTGTGTGACGGTATCCTGCGCGCCTTCACAGCCACACCCTAGGGTATATAAAACACTCCCACGGTGTAATTCTCTAGAAGATGAAGACAGTGACCATGCTTGCTGCCGCCCTCGTCGGACTCACCCCGCTCCCGCTCTCGTACTCCTTCCAGACGCTCGGCAATCACCCCTCTCACCTGTCCGCCCCCTCCCTCCCGGCCCTCACCCAACCGCTCTTCCAGGCCCTCACCCAACCGCTCTTCCAGCGCACCGCAACTCTCTCCCAGCGCGTGGCCGTCCCTGAAGCTCCCATCCAAGTTCCCATCTCTGAAACTCCCATCCAAGCTCCCGTCCCTGAAATTTCATATGCGCTTACCCCCATCCTGGCAGTGGAGGAGATGGAAGCGGCAGGAGATGTCCAGTCAACGCCGGAGAGGTCAGGAGAGGGGGAGGAGTAAAAAAGAATTTTCATAAACACACTAAATACTCACAAAATTAACCCTATCCTTCTTCATCAAGCTCTCGCGCAGCCCCTTCATCGCGCACTTGTTCATCTGGTGGACGGCGATGATCTTCCCGCCCAGCGTCACCTGGTAGCGCTGCGCCTGGTTCTGCCCCACCCAGGCGGCGACCTCCGCGGTTTTGCTGGGAGCCAGGACATAGCTGATGGGGATCGTGTCGGGGCCGTAGAGGCAGCGTCCCAGCGGGCGGTCGAGCTTCTTCCCGATTAGGGCGGTGCTGCTCTCGATCGGGGGCAGGGCGTAGCGCGCCATCAGGAGCGTCTCCTTCCTCTCCTCCTCCGTGAAGTCGATCTTGATGCCGCGCAGGGAGGGGTCGGAGGTGCTCACCGCCTCGGAGATCGGCACCCCCGCGACGGAGTTCTTCACCAGGATCGTGTCCCCGATCGTCGACACCACGTGCCAGAAGATGCCGTCCAGCTTCCCGATGTGCATCCAGGGCTTCATCTCCCGCGACGGCGCCATGAGCATCGTGCACTGGTTGTAGAAGGCAGCCTCCGTCAGCGGGGTGGGCGGGCCTCCTGCCGCCTGGATCTTCTGCGACACGTAGGCGCTCGGCTTCCCGACCACCTCCCCCCGTCCCGCGAAGCTTTCGATCCTCACCGCCGTCGTCAGCTCCGTCAGGATGCGGTCGTAGCTGCTCTGGTCGTTCTCGGCAGAGGAGGAGACGACGGCGCTGCTCGGAGCACTCTTGACACTCGAACTCCCGCGGACGATCATTGCCGCGCAGTGACCCGCGGGGTGCATGTTCATCGGCTTGCCCGACGCCGACATCTTCGCCGCCTTGGCCGTCATCAGCACCGCCCGCATGGAGGTGTCATGGATGTGCTCCCCAAACTCCCCGCACTGCCGCAGAACGCCCCGGAGCTCGTCATCCGTCCAGTCCTTCAGCTCGGGCTGCCCGCGGAGTGACTCGAGCACCACGCCCGCGAATTTCTCCGGCTCCATGCGTTCGAGGTCTGGGTACTCGTCGTAGATCACCCCGCACTTGCTACTCAGCCTCACGCAGAAGCGGCGCATGTAGCTGAACTGCAGGATCGCCATGTGAGCCAGGTCCTCGCAGTCCCCGTGGCGCAGGCCCTCGATGTAGCCCCGGCGCTTCTTGTCCAGGTGGTTGAAGAGCGACTCCCCGGGGGTGCGATTCTTGATCCTGGCACCGATGGAAGCTCCAAGGGCATCCCCCGCCCGCGCAGACCTCAGGTAGATGTCCGAGAACGGCACCATGATGTCCTCGCTCATTGCGTAGGAGGGCACCTTCTCCTGCTCTTCGCTATCTTCGTACACCTCGATGACGTAACCATCACCCTCCTCCCTCTCGATGATCGGCTTCAGGTCCCGCGGCGTCTTCTCCGCCAACATGGGTTTGACGTCGCTGGCGTAGGTGAAGTCCGAGGCGAACAGCCCGCCGACGTTGGCCAGGCAGTCGCCCGCCGACCTCGCGTCGATGCGGTCGTGGAACGACAACCCCGTCATCCGGAACAGGGACGAGGTGATGCCGAAGGCGTCGAGCGCCGTCGTCCTCGAGAGCCGGATCTTCTCCTGCATGATCACATCCATGTTCGTCAGGAGATCCACCAGCGTGTTCCCGATGCTGCTCACAAACGACCCAGTCATCACCCCCTCCGGGTGCCGCTTGATCCCGCGCTGCAGCAGCTCCGCGTAGAAGCGCTGCGAGATCAGGTTCTGCCGCATGTTGTAGCGGTGGATGCGGTCCTGGCCCATGGGGATGAGCGTCTCCTCCATCGCACCAAAGGCCCGCAGCGCCGCCCGGTTCATCTCCCGGAACCTCCCCCGCATCCCCTCCGGCAGCGGCACCGCCTTCACCTTCAGCTCCACATCGGGCTGGACAGGGTCGTACCCGATGCTCATCAGCGCGCTCCTGGGCTTATCCTCTTCGACGCTCCCAACGTCCCCGCAGGACACTTCCAGTAAGCCACGCAACGGCACCCTCCCCGTCCCGACATGGATGTCCTTGGAGTTCGGCGGGGCGCCCATCATCGCCAGCTGTTCCGGAGAAGGACCGGGCGCCACCGCCATCAGCTGCAGGTCCCTGACCTCCGCCTCCGCCAGGTCTCCCGACACCACGAACAGCCCCTCCCCCAGCGGCACCGCCGAGTACGAGTTCCGGCAGCCCACCCATGCCATCGCGTGCTCAATGATGTCGTGCTCCACGCCCTTCCTCTCACACACTATGCGCACCGCCCCGACGAAGGGCATCTTTGCCCCCTTCACGTTCAAGATTTCGTCCTTCAAGTCACTCCCTGCCGCACCCGACAACCTCGCACGCACGCGGACCCTGGCCGACATCTTGGGTGCTAGGCAACCAAGCGATTTATATACATGCATAGAAGGGGTGGTGGGGACGATGGAGACAAAACATCCTTGCTTTATTCGAAAACACTAGCACTCCTCCTCGTAATCCTTCCTCTTCCTCCCCGTCTCGGGCTCCCTTGCCTCCACCTGCGGCACGCGGTACGATAGCATGCCACTGACGAAGGAGACCACGCCAAGGTTATGCGGAAGGACACAACCCGAGGGAGGAGAGGAACGGTACCCACGGGCCCAGGCCAGCGCGCTCCCACGAAACTCCTTCCAGCTCCCGGCCTCCAGCGCAGCGCAAGGCACTCCCTCCGCCTCCGCCAGCGCCTCTGCCCTTACCCTCCGCTCTACCTCGTGCAGCGCTTCGGGCATATACTGCGGATCGGCGATGACCACGCAGCACACCTCCAGGGTGGTGTCAGGCGCCGTCACCGGGGCTCCCGAGCTCATCACACCCGAGTGTTGCATCTTCGTCCTCCTCGCCATCCCATTCGTTGCCATCACGTTTAATACACACCCGCACGCTGCTATCCCATTTCGTCCACCCCAGCGCCTTCCGCACGATGTAGGCGGTGTTGGGATGGCGGAAGACCGGGGAGCTGTTGTTCACGTCCCTGAACCAGCGCAGCACCACCCTCCGGATGAACGAGTTCACCTCGCTGCCACACTCCTCCAGTGCCTGGCGCAGGTGCTCGGGCAGCACGGCGGCGCGGTAGTAGTTCACCACCCGCTCCTTCCCTACCACCTTCTCCTCAAGGAGGCAGGAAAGCAGCCTCCGCATGTTCCGCATGTCAGGGCACGCAACCTCCCCGGGAGCAAGGGAGAAGCAGATCAGCCGGTCGATCAGGAGATACACCTTCCGCTTCCCCACGCTCTGCTCCGCGTGCTCGTTGCTCGGCACCGACCTCCGGATCCAGTTGATGCAGGCCGTGCAGGCCGTCAGGCGGTAGTTGGGATCCTTCCTCGCCCCCGCCACCTCTCTCACCGAAGCCCACACAAACGGAGTCTCCCGCCAGCGGTTCTCTAACATGCACTGGAAGGTCCGCGCCGTCTTGCTCCGACGACCGTCCCCCGTGCCGAGGAGAACCCCGCACATAACACACACCTCATGGGAACGGAAGCACTCCCCCGTCAGCGAGCTTACAACCCGCATCGGCTGCTCCTTCCCCTCCATAGCGGCAGGGAGCGGCGGCGCGGGAGTCGACGGGCTTGAGCGCGGGAAGCAATAAAAACAAAAAAAAACAGGGGTGGTTTACCACCCCTACTCCCTGTGAATGGGATATTTGGGGGTGGGGTACTTACTGGTACTAAATTAAGTAATAGAGCGTAACAGAGAATCACAGAGTACTAATTAGTACTATATACATTAAGTAATATATATATAGTATGTATATTATATATGTATATTATATATATATATTATATATATAGAACCGTTAATCTTAACGGTTTAACGGTTTAACGGTTTCCAGATGTACGCCAGGGGTGAGAGTGTGGAGGGCAGTGTGTGGCTATCTAATTCTTTGTGAGAAAAGGGAGTATTCCCCCCCCCGATATCTATTACTTAGAGGGGGACGGGGGGGGATAA